CCTGTACATATCCTATACCTATCCTATACCTATCCTATAACTATCCTATAACTATCCTGTAACTATCCTATATCTATCCTATATCTAGCCCATACCTATCCTATAACTATCGTATACCTATCCTATAACTATCCTAAACCTATCCTATACCTATCCTATACCTATCCTATCCTATACCTATCCTATCCTATATCTATCCTATACCTATCCTATAACTATCCTATACCTATCCTATACCTATCCTATACCTATCCTATACCTATCCTGTACCTATCCTGTACCTATCCTATACCTATCCTATACCTATCCTATACCTATCCTATACCTATCCTATAACTATCCTGTACCTATCCTGTACCTATCCTATACCTATCCTGTACCTATCCTGTACCTATCCTATACCTATCCTATACCNTATCCTATCCTATACCTATCCTATCCTATACCTATCCTATCCTATACCTATCCTATCCTATACCTATCCTATCCTATACCTATCCTATCCTATACCTATCCTATCCTATACCTATCCTATACCTATCCTATACCTATCCTATACCTATCCTATACCTATCCTATGCCTATCCTTTACCTATCCTTTACCTATCCTTTACCTATCCTATACCTATCCTATCCTATACCTATCCTATCCTATACCTATCCTATCCTATACCTATCCTATCCTATACCTATCCTATCCTTTACCTATCCTATCCTATACCTATCCCATCCTATACCTATCCTATCCTATACCTATCCTATCCTATACCTATCCTATCCTATACCTATCCTATCATATACCTATCCTATCCTATACCTATCCTATCCTATACCTAACCTATCCTATACCTATCCTATCCTATACCTATCCTATCTTATACCTATCCTATACCTATCCTATAACTATCCTGAACCTATCCTATACCTATCATATAACTGTCCTATACCTATCCTGAACCTATCCTATGCCTATCCTATACCTATCCTATACCTATTCTATACCTACCGTATGCCTATCCTATACGTATTTTATACCTATCCTATGCCTATCCTATACCTATCAAATGCTATGCATTGTAGATAAGGTTAAAGAGAAGATGAGGCTGCAAATAATGTTGACCAAGTTTAGCGTATTCATTCATATCCGTTTCTTAACCACTACATACAGAGATCTGACAAAATACTGAATCTTCAGTTTGGTTTGATTTTATTTCAAGAGTATCATGGTATACCGACATGTAGTGTAGAATACGGCGAGAACATAGACATAATCTCTGCATTGATTAAATACGCTATAACACTTATCAGAGTAGATTTAATGATCGAAAACTCAGGATAGGACGGAGAAATACCTTGATCTGTGATACGGTTGAGTTTCTATATTTACATTGTCCTAGAAATAGGACGGGCTCACTGCGCATTATATCTTGGTTTCACTGCAAGAGTAGTTCCCAATCTAACCAAGTATGCTCCAAGCATCACTGAACGCTGGCGGCCTCAAGGCTCTAAGGTTTGCTAGAGTCCCAAGGATTGGAGGCCGTGTCAGGGGGGGGAGGGGGAGAAAGCTACAATGCGACAGCAACCACCCTCCGCTCATGGTTAATACTCTTTCGTTTACATCTAAAGAAATGATTTTGTCTGAAGGAGTTAAATCCTAACTAATATATTGTAAACAATAAAAATCCATGCTAGGTGTTATGTTTTCCATTATATTGAATTTTATGAAATATTATACACATTCAATATCATTCCAATATTTAAAGTTATTCTCTTTAATCTCTATGCACAGGATAAACCTTTTTATTTATTATTTCTGATGTTTTCTTCTGAGTTTTCCCTTTGTTTCTATGTTTGAGAATCCCTTTTTATCTCTGTTTTAGAATGCCCTTGGTTTCTCTATCTGAGAATCTCCCTTGGTTTCTCTGTTTGAGAATCCCCTTGTTTTCTCTGTTTGAAAATCCCTTTTGGTTTCTCTGTTTGAGAATCCCCCTTGGTTTCTCTGTTTGAGAATCCCTTTTGGTTTCTCTGTTTGAGAATCCCCCTTGGTTTCTCTGTTTGAGAATTCCCCTTGGTTTCTCTGTTTGAGAATCCCCTTGGTTTCTCTGTTTTAGAATTCCCCTTGGTTTCTCTGTTTGAGAATCCCCTTGGTTTCTCTGCATGTTAGAAACCCCCTTGGTTTCTCTGTTAGAGAATCCCCTTAGCTTCTATGCTTAAGAACCCCCTTGAAACCCCTTGGTTTCTCTGTTTGAGAATCCTCTCTGGGTTCCCGTTTGAGAATCCCATAAGTAAATGTTTGAAAATTCACTTGGCTTTATATGTTTGAGAAATCAGTTCAACTCTAGCTTTCCTCAAAGCAGGATCTAGGTCTTTGCAGAGGCGCTTCTAACAGTAACAAGGAGTACAGGGAGACAGAGAAAAATGGCAAATCCTAGTTAAACGTACACACAGAAGAAACTTAAGGTATAAAGGAAAATTGACGAGTAAAACAAGATTATCAACAAGGAATGCCTGCATTCATCTGTCAATGCTGTATTACCCTGGAGAACAGAGATTTGTTACCTCTCTGGGACTAGGCTTGCTATGGAAAAGCTAGACTTGCACTCCTTAGAAACAGGTCTGAGCCCTCGATTTAAAAAATTTGGGAAAATACGGCTCGGGTCTAAGCTGTCGTTGGGCCTTATTTATTTACGGCTTGAGCTTTCGGATTCAAGCTGCATCTTATTTTCAACAGAGTTGAGTTGAAAAAACTTGTTCCTGGTTCTTATGAGAACAAGACTCGACATTGAGCCTTATTCTTCACTAAAACCAACCAAGGTCGGTCTTATTTTCATTGGGCCTAACTCCTTAAGTCGAGCCGAAGATCTTGCAGCTGTCAATCACGTGACACAAGCTGTCCTCAGAGTTGGGTTGAAGATTGGGTCTTAAAGTCGGGTTTAAAGAATTACGGCTCGAGCCGGATTTTTTAAATCGCGGGCTCTGGTAAGCCAGTTTTTAAGTTAAACCTACAACCCATGGAAAACATGTTAATATCCATCAACCACGGATCTTCCTAATGTGGAGAAGCATCAAGTATAATTTACAAGAACTGCTCAAGATGTTCTTACACATCAGTTTCAAGACTCCAACTGTTGATAATCTACTCCTAACCAAAACTCCTTTTATCACATTTGTCATTATTTATAAGTGACTCTGAGATTCTGACATTGGGTCCTTAAAATTTTCAAAATTCCACGTTTGGTGAAGTGTCCTTTTTTCTTTCCTCACCCAGAGCTAGGAAACATTAATTGTGTATAGATCTATATTTAGTAAAGTCATCAACATTCAACAATCTACAAACCTGCTGAGATAGCAAATTCCAGAAAACATGCAAGGATTATTATATTATTTTTATTATTGTTTATGGGTTCAGTGTCAGCAGCTCAGCTAAACTTCCTTGCAACAAACCAGAAATATCAGAATCAAAAAAGGAGCAGAGATTAGCAGAGATTAGCAGAGATTAGCAGAGATTAGCAGAGATTAGCAGAATTCTGAAACAATGAATAGATAAGAAGAATCTACGGACAATTTCTAATGTCTAAACTAAATGTGAGGGTGTCGTTTCCCACTTGGGGTTTTCGGAGTCTTGGGATTCCCCTCCTCCCTCCCCTCCGGGGGGAGGGAGGAGGGGACCAAAAGAATCCCAAAGTAATACTGGAATACTGTAATACTATTAAAATAATATTGAACAAGTTTGTAATTATCTTTTATAAAAACCTTTTTAAAATAAAAAAAATAAATTGTTAAAAAAAAAATACGAATGAGAATTTTGAGAATTCCGCCTTTTTTGATTAATAATCTTTTGCATAAATATACTGATAAATTTCTATGTTTGAGTATTCCTTTATTTCAATGAGAATTATTCCTTTAGTTTAGGGAATTGAAATTCTCCTTTTTAAAAAAAGCAAGATGAAAACTTTCCATAAGGAACTTTCAATAAAGGAACAAAACACTTACCTCAAACATTTTTTGAATCCATATATCTTTGGAACCTAATGGCGTAAACTTTTGATTTTTAAACTTTGATATCGAAGAATACAAAGTTTGAAACATTAAAGGTCTACGACATCAGGTTGCAAATATATAAGGATTATAAAGCTTATGGAGTATGAAAGAGTTTACATTTAAAATCACATAGTTGTCCTTGTTGGGCTTAATATATAAAAAAAGGCAATCCTTTGAGGTATTCATGTACTTATATCTAATTAAGTGCTCCTTACTAGAACTATAGAGGGGAATAAGTTCAGTATCTCATTTTCTTTTAATTATCTTCACAATGTTAGATAATTTGATGTTTAGAGAAGTGTATATTATTCAACAGTATATCAAGATCCTCAATACATTCTTTATAAAAGTAAGATCGACACATTCAGAATAAGATTGGCACAGGTCCAGCCCGCCCTGTCATTATTGTTACTGGATATCTTAGAAAAACTAGATTTTATTCCTCCAATCAACCAATCAATAGACTCAATATATACTTATATACTTATATACTTTACAGAGCAATTCTAGCTGAAAAATCCTGTACAGCAGTTCTTTTAATTTGTGGATAGTTCCTCTATATATTAGTGGATAGTTTTTTTTCTATGTTACTGGATAGTTCCTCTATATATTAGTGAATAGTTCCTTTATATATTAGTGGATAGTTCCTTTATATATTAGTGGATAGTTCCTCTATATATTAGTGGATAGTTCCTCTTTATATTAGTGGATAGTTCCTTTATATATTAGTGGATAGTTCCTCCATATTTTACTAATATTATTGGTAGATGGTTCCTTTATATATTAGTGGATAGTTCCTTAATATATTAGTTGATAGTTCCTCTATATATTGGTAGTTAGTTCCTCTATATATTAGTGGTTAGTTCCTTTATGTATTAGTTGATAGTTCCTCTATATATTAGTTGATAGTTCCTTTATATATTAGTTGATATTTCCTTTATATATTAGTAGATAGTTCCTTAATATATTAGTGGATAGTATCTACCGAAGTATCTACCGAAGTATCCGAAGTATCTACCAAAGTATCTACCGAAATATCTACCAAAGTATCTATCGAAGTTTCTACCGAAGTATCTATCGAAGTATCTGCCGCAGTATCTACCAAAATATCTACCGAAGTATCTACCGAAGTATTTACCAAAGTATCTAACGAAGTATATACGGAAGTATCTACCGAAGTATCTACCAAAATATCTACCGAAGTATCTACCGAAGTATTTACCAAAGTATCTAACGAAATATATACGAAAGTATCTACCAAAGTATCTACCAAAATATCTACCGAAGTATCTACCAAAATATCTACCGAAGTATCTACCTCGAAGTATCTACCGAATTTTGTACCGAAGTATCGACAGAAGTATCTAGCGAATTTTGTACCGAAGTATCGACAGAAGTATCTAGCGAATTTTGTACCGAAGTATCTTATCTTTGGTTGAAAAGCAGGAATGTTTTACTTTAGGAGATTGTGCTGTCAAAACCCGTCCTACTTCACAAACCATTGCCTCAGTCTAATATTTTACTTCTGAATCCCGATAAGTGAGAAATATATTAATTTTGTTATTTCCTCTAGCTTGGAGAGACGATATGCACATTAGTATATAAATAACATTCAACTTCTTTAATATTTACATCTACATTATTTATGAGTTAAAACTGAAAAAAATTATTATTAACGTACTTACCAATTCTAAAATTACTGTATAAAGCTTGGTTTCAATGCATCCTGATGGTTTAAAATCAGTCCAAAACACTAAACAATGATCACGGGATTGGTTAAACACTGTGTATACAAATTCTTGTGTAGTATTGGTTGTATCCGGTGGTTTAGGTTTCCGCAGGTAAAGATATATCTCCTCCTGTCTCTCCTGTGTGTAGGTTCTATACTGGATCAGCTGTGGGATACTCAACCAAACAGGAACCAGGAACCAACGGAGAAAGAAGGTTTCAGAAAACTAACCCTATCTGAAACAAATATGTAAATAAATGTCTTACCCCAGAATTCTTGGAGATTTCTTTTAACTTCCTTTATTAAGTTAGGGGTTTGTGAGAAAATTTAAGATTACGTAAATAATATTGATATATATATATACATTTTATATATTCTTGCAAATATATGATCTGTCGTCTTCCTTATCCCTACTGTAGAGGCTCTGTTTGAGCACTTCCAACATTCTTCTACAGAGTACAGATCCATTAATAAATATAAAGATGGAGTCCTCGACCTGCTTGTATACATAGACCTATACCTAGCTAGTATACCTAGATCTAGACCTAGCTAGAATACATAGACCTAATTATAGTATACCTAGATCTAGACCTAGCTAGTATACATAGACATAATTATAGTATACCTAGATCTAGACCTAGCTAGCATACATAGACCTAGACCTAGCTAGTATACATAGACATAACTATAGTATACCTAGACCTAGACCTAGCTAGTATACAGTCATAACTATAGTCTATTTATACTAGCTAGGTCTAGATCTAGGTATACTATAGTTATGTCTATATATGCTAGCTAGGTCTAGATCTAGGTATACTATAGTTATGTCTATGTATACTAGCTAGGTCTAGATCTAGGTATACTAGCTATGTATTGGTATACTATAGTTATGTCTATGTATACTAGCTAGGTCTAGGTATACTATAGTTATGTCTATTTATGCAAGCTAGGTCTAGGTTTAGGTATACTATAGTTATGTCTATTTATGCTAGCTAGGTCTAGATCTAGGTATACTAGCTATGTATTGGTATACTATAGTTATGTCTATATATGCTAGCTAGGTAGCTAGTATACCTAGATCTGGACCTAGCTATATAGCATAAGTATAAAGTATGAAAGACTAGTTTTAAAATCGTAGTATCATATGGAGAGAGATGTAACTAAACCCCTTTTCATAAATATTATTACAAATCATATCTAGATCAAATCTTACAAGTATACAATACATACAAAAATGTAATTTTTTATCAAAGCAGGTCGTGGGTGAATAATTCAAGGATGTGTAAACCTTTCTTTTTAATTGAAGAAAGCTATTTAAATAATTGATTTCTTTTCTGATCCAAATATATTTTTTGATGTTCATAACATCATGTCTGTTTACTTTTAAAAAACTTGCTGTTCTGCCCACCCTGAGGTTTATACAGTTTATAAGGCATAAACATTTTATTTGCTTCTTATATATCTATTAAACACTGAGGCTCAATTATGTATTATGTACAGTAGAAACAAATGGAAATCAAAATAAAACCAAAATGGTTCAAACTTTCAAAGAGATCTTTCCAGTTATCCCCGAACCATTCACACTTTTTCAACTGTTCTCATTAAACTCAATAACGGATGGGCAAATTATGCCTGGTAAATTTTGTCCTGTAAACTCCAATTCTCCTCATTCCTGTAAACTCCAGTTCTCCTAGTTCAGCTTCGTCCTGTAAACTCCAGTTCTCCTCATTCAGGTCCGTCCTTTGAACTCCAGTTCTCCTAGTTCAGCTTCGTCCTCTAAACTCCAGTTCTCCTCATTCAGCTCCGTCCTGTAAACTCCTGTTCTCTTCATTTAGATCCGTCCTGTAAACTCCAGTTCTCCTCATTCAGCTCCGTCCTTTGAACTCCTGTTCTCCTCATTCAGCTCCGTCCTTTGAACTCCTACTCTCCTCATTCAGCTCCGTCCTTTGAACTCCTGGACCTGTTCTCCTCATTCAGCTCCGTCCTTTGAACTCTTGTTCTCCTCATTCAGCTCTATTCTGTTAACTCCAATTCAGCTTGGTGGTGTAAACTTCTGTTCTCATTATTTAGCTCCGTCCTGACATCTCCAGGTTTCATCTTTCAACCTTGTTCTGTAAACTCAAGTTTTCCTCAGTCAGCTCAGTCCTATAAAAAGCCAGTTCTATTCTTTCAGCTATGTCCTGTATACTACTCATTCAGTTCCATCATATGAAATCTAGTTCTATACAGACAGCTTTACTCTAAAAAGTCCAGTTCTCCCCTTTAGGCTTCTTTAAGTGAGCGTCAGTTCTCCTCATTTAGCTCCGTCCTGCAGTTAACTCTAGTTCTCCTCATTTAGCTCCGTCCTGCAGTTAACTCTAGTTCTCTTCATTTAGCTCCGTCATGCAGTTAACTCTAGTTCTCGTCATTCAGCTCCGTCCTGTAGTTAGTTCTCCTCATTCAGCTCCGTCCTGCAGTTAACTCTAGTTCTCCTCATTCAGCTCCGTCCTGTAGTTAACTCTAGTTCTCCTCATTCAGCTCCGTCCTATAAAACTCAAGTTCTCATCTTTCAGATCCATCCTGTAAATTCCTGTTCTCCACATTTAGCTCAGCCCTGCCAATGCCAGTTCTCTTTATTCAGATCTGTCTTACAGACTCCACTTCTCCTCATTTAGCTCAATCCTGCTCTGGTAAAATTCAGGTTTCCCGGTTTTTTGTTTTGTTCCTGAAAGTCAGTGAGCTCTTGAATGTTGAAATTCATCTTTTCTTTAATTATATACTTGATATCCATGAACGAAACTAGTAATTTTAAAAAGATTATAGTAATTCTAAATTTTGGAGGCGAAAATTGATAGGATTGATAATAATCAATTATTTCGATCATTTGATTTAATTTGTTCGTGATTACAGTGGTTCACATCAGTTATACTATCGAAAACAACAAGTTTTAGACGGAAACATAATTCCTTCTGCTCCTGATATAATCTCTCACAAAGTAAAGACCGGGACCCCTATGAGATCGGTTCCAGGGGATACATCTCTCCTCAGAACAGGGTCAGGATCAAAATTATTTTTAAATTCTGTGAAACATCCAAACCATTTTCAAATTTCCTGAAAAACATCCTACTACATATATATTTGTAAGTAGTAAATCCCAGAACTGGGATTTGTTTATTTGTTTACTCCGCCTGTTAAACCTTTTTTTTAGTAAAAAACACTAAAATTAAATTTGTATAATTAATTGCCACAAATTCTGATTTTCTAATCCCTATATCTTTTGAACCCTATGTCGTAAACCTTTGATATTTCAAACTTGTACTATTTGATCTAACAGAAGTCATAGTCATAGTCATAGTCATAGTCATGTCTACAATATTGGACTGCAAAGATAAATGAATTAGAAAATCAGAGTTTGTGACAAAGACTCAATTCCTTTACAATCCAGTGTTGCTACATATATATACATATACTCTATTATTATTGTTGCAACATGTTATACAAATTTGACTAACATTCAAATTATTTCCTGTTTTGCATATATTTACCTGTTTGATTTTTTATATTGCAATATCTGGAACTGATCATATGATACTTCTTTAATTTAAGGACAAAGGAATTGAGTCTTTGCCACAAATTAAAATTTTCTTATCATTGAATTTTTGCGACTTGATGGTGTAAACCTTTGATATTTCAAACTAAGATTATTTGGTCTAAAAGAATTCTGAGTTTGAAATATCAAAGGTCTACAACATTGGGTTGTAAAACTGTATGGATTAGAAAACGAAGTTTGTGGCAAAGACTCAATTCCTTGAGAAAATGTTAAAGATTTAAATATCTTTAGCTACAAATTTACATAGATGGCTACACACATTTTGAAAAGCGACGTACAACCTTGTTTTGATGCATCCCAGAACAATAACAATCGAATATCGGACAATTTTTAAGTCGTCTTTTGATTCTAGTGTTTTTTGGGCCATCCTCTACAATTTAATTCTAAAATAAGACTGTTATTAAGCTTAACATTCATTAGAACATATAAACAATGATGTCAACTTAACAACATTAACAATTTTTATTTTATTCAAGTTTTATTCTTATAAAAAAAATGATATTTGTGAAATTAGCTAGATATTCATTTTAACTTTCTAAAGAAATGAAACAAAAACACAAACAGAAAGAAAATAAAAACATAAACAAAACTATAAATAAATGATATAATGGGTTTATTACATACAAACTATTGTTATTCCCGATGAACCTTCTTCTTGTGCCTGATAATGTTTGATGACGAAGTTGCTTGATAGTTACAGCTAGTGCAGGAGTATCTGAATCCTTCATGGGCAGTTAGTTCATGATGTTTAGTTTTGTAGTTGTACTGGGAGCTATAATTACAAATCTTACACGGATACATTTTACCATCATGTTTACTTTCTTTATGTACCTTTAATATATATGCTGTACACGCAGAGTATTCACAAAGATCACAGAAAAATCTGACTTTTTCGTGAACTCTCTTCTTGTGTTGATTTAAATCGCTGTTTTTCTGCGCTTTGTAATCACATTGGTCACATGGATAACGAATATTTTCATGTTTACTATTTTTATGATGTTGAAGTCGAGATTTACAGTTGGCAGTGTACGGACACTGATCACACATGAAGGTAACGCCTTCGTGTTTACTTTTCATGTGTATATTTAGGACTCCCTGCCTTGCTGCAATAAAATCACATTGATCACAATAGTATTTCTTACCCTCGTGTTTATGTATTTTATGTTTTCTAAGTGTACTAGGGTCCGGGGAAGAAAATTCGCAGATATCACAGTTATAACGCACTCCTTCATGTTTCGACATGATGTGCTGTTTCAAGTGATCTTTCTTGGTCGAACAATGATCACACTGAGGACAGGGATATCTCACTTTCTCATGAACACTCTGTATATGCTTCTTTAGATTGGCTTTGGTTAAATTTACATAATCACATTCTTCACAATGAAATGGTCCTTCAACTCTAGGCCGTCCGCCCTTTTTTGCCAGATGTTCCAGTTTCGTCTCTGAAAATAAAAATTTTTTCACAAATGTCACAAAACAAAATAACAAAAAAGAAGGACACCTGACATTTGTAAAACATCATCATTTGTTTCCATTTTGATCTCCATTTGATAATATTTCTCCAGTTCCTCATATTTTTTTTCATGTTCCTCTCCATCTTTCTAAACAATGGTTATATATAGTGTCAAAAATCTTTTGTGTCATTTAAACATATTTTAAGCAACCCATCATTGAAAGTGTCATATCCCCCAAAGTTATCCAATTCTGAAGTTTTTGTCAGAAAACCCCCTTCCCTTTCCAGGGAGGGGGTTCTACCCCTGATAAAAATACCGTTAAGTATGAAGGATAAATACCTTCGAAGGATCTGACTCTACATTTTCCTCTTCTTTTACTGTTTCTGGAACCCTGAGAAGAAGAATGCTGTTCCCATCCTCATCTCTGCGTTCCCCTTTATCCTCATTCTTGTCCTCATCTTCGCTACAGGACAAGTCTCCGGAGACAGATATCTCTGGAGAACCTGATCCCATGAATTCATCCTTGAGCTGATTCACGATATTGTAATCTACTGTAAGTTCTCCTGACGATCCGTCCTGAAATATTCCTTGCTCACAAACTATTTGCATCAATTTCTTTGCAACCAGATCATCCAGGTTGAACTTAACCTTGAGATAGAGAACAGATAGGGTTCCATTGCTACCAAAGAATCGTGTATGCTCTCCCTGTGATAGAGCAAGGAGAAGTCTAGCTTGAAGACCTTGATATTTGAGTTCCTCTGTATCTCGAGTAGACCCTGAGATAGGATGGACGGAGAGGATACCAGGATACGAACAGGATTTGTTATATTGTAAACTACAAGGAGCACAAACTATCGGACCCACCTCCTTTTTGTAGCAAGCTCCGTGCACAAAATATTTACAGGATTCACATTCAAGATTATACAATCCGTCAGGGGTGGAGCTCCCACAATAACATTGTATCAGGGAGATTCTTGTTTCTCCTAAATCACGACCTTCTCCAGATTTCATGCTTATATGTTTTATATTTTTATTTTTCAATCATTTACATTCCATAATTACGGTGTGAAACACTGCCAATTTGAGTTATATTGTGAAATGTTTTCTTTAATGTCTTGATACGATATACAATACATATTTGTTTGTTATTGTTTACATTTTAATATATCCGCGCAGACGCAGAAACTCAAAATTATTTTTCTCTCTCTCTTTTCTCTCCTTTGCCTCGTCTTCATTGGATCTGTTTTATTCCTCTGGATATGTCAAGACTCTACGCAAGTTTCCAAGACTTGTTGCAGGAGTTGAAGGGTTTCTACATTTTTAAAGATTTAAATCGTCGTGAATAGTTTTTTTTTATTTTAAAGTTTAATTGATACACATCTGGTATGATTAACATAAAGATAATAATTTAAGAAATTGGAAGACTGAGACTTTTTGTAAACCCGCGTAGAATTATTTTTCCTAGTTGCACTTATAACTTACCTGTTTCAATTTTAATTTTTCAATCTCTTTCATCTCTCTTTTAGCATGTTACGAAAGTGAAGAAAATGCCTGCATGAACACGATAAATGTTAATTGAAGTGAATTAAGCTAACTGAATGAAATTTACTACTGATGCATGTTTTTTTATTCTGAATTGAGCTGAATTCTGACACCGGAAATATCCACTTTAAAATTGGAAAAATTATTACCCTGCCCTGAAACTAAATTAGGTTGGATGAAATCATTGAATCCATAAATGCCACCAAAATTTTTTCAAAAATCCCTTTTAATAGTTATCAAGTTGATTCTGAAAACATGAATACATTCAGAGGGCGATTTTTAGACTCCCCCCCTCAGAGGGGTCCCCCCTAATGTGGCCGCAGCGCCCGGCCCCCTATCCTGTCCAAGCCGTGGCTCTCGTCCCTCCAGTTGTTTATGTACAAAATTGGGGAGGGGTCCAAAAATCGTTCCCTAGGACAGACCTGGCCCCGGAGGGCCATCTCTTATGCAATTTAAAACTTATGCGACAATTGTTAATGTAAAAATATTTTATTTTCCCTTTTTCAGAATTGTCTTCTATGCAGCCATTCTTAGGTTCAAAGTTTGACGTTAACGCTCTGAGTAATATCGAGGATGTTAGAGCCGCGTTTGAACTTCTCTGCAGGTTTTATTTCACGTTATTTATAGTTCCAATTTACGTTTTTCCCAGTTTAAAAGCTTACAATTATGTGTCCTTGGCATCTCCGATCAAATTCTGGTTTATATGGTTCCTTTCCTGGGGTGTATACATGAATTTGTCCAAAGTGGAGCTTAACCTATGTTGACTGTTGAGGGGCCTTGAGGATTAAGTCCACCTTAGAAATCACACTTTTAAATTTTTCGGGACAGCCCCTGCCCCCCGTATATATTGGCATTTTATTTTTTTTATTTTAAAATGAGATTTATAGTCTGTTTTAATTATTTTTTATTGTTCAAAATGTCTCTTACTTAAGTTTTTCTCAATCCAAAAATTCATTACTTTTCTCCAATTCAGCAAAAAAAACCTTAAAACTCTTTTGTACTACGCGCATTTAAACCCAACATCTGGGTGGATTTTTTTTTTAAAAATCAAGTTGATATAACGATGTTTTTGGTTGAAGGGAGGAGGATAAGGTTGGACACGAGCTGGACGAAGTCCTAGATAAACAGACGGGGTTGGATTCAAGGTTTGTTCATTTTTCTCTCATGAATTTGTACTTTCTTATCTGCCCATGTTTTAGCAGGATTTCAGGTATTTTAATGTTTAGTAAGAAAAGAAAATGAATTTTAGGAGGAAAGTATTATAAAAGATTTTCTAGATCTTTCTTCTCGCAAAGCTTATCAAAAGGGAAAACTGTACCAACATGGGAATGTATATATTATATATATAGCTTACTAAAAGAGCAGAAAATACTAGAATAGCTATAAATGGCAAATCCATGTTAATTAACCAAGGAAGTCACAGTCTGGAACAATTTGTGATAATTTTATTATGATTTATATTTGATTTATTATGTTTTATTTATTGATTAATTGGTATAGATTGAAAGCGGTGACAGCACTTACTCCTGAACTAGGAGATGTCAAATCCGAAGGCCGCAGATTATCAGGTTCAGTTTTTAAACTTAAAAGAAACGATTTTCCCCTTTCAGTTCCAATCATGGTGGGTTGTAGATTTCATTATTTATACAGGGTGTCTCGGAAAAAGTACGTTTATGCTTTGTAGGCTACCAAACGTCGTTAAATTGTCCTGAAAAGTGGTCCTATTAGGTATAAGGCCTAATGGAGGGGGGGGGGGGGATCGTCGATAAATGATTTTGCTATGAAATTCCGTTTTAACATTCTAGAGTATGTCAAATATTCGAAAATGTTCTCGGTCTCATATTTCCAAAAAATTTTCATTTGTTTATTTGTGAGCTGAGTCATAAAAAAATTATGCTACTTGTAATGATCGAGGTCAAGAAACTCTAATTTCTAAAAATACAATTTTTTCAAGAATAAAAAAATGATAAATAAAAATACAATACCAAAAATGGGAGGAAATAATTTTGGAAAATAGAGAGAAGATAATAAGGTTAAAATTGAAAAGAAAAATTATCAAATAAATCCTGGTCAAAACTAATTATCAATTTTTTCAGGTTTAATATGTCACACAGCTCTGCTAGCTGAGAAGGTCAGCGCTAAGGTTCGCCAGCTTGACCTGGCGAAGAGTAGAGTTGCAGAGTGCCAACAGAGAGTTCATGACCTTATTGATCTTAGGTATATTTAACAGTCATTAACCCTATTGATCCTATTGTAGAAAACTATTGTAGGTTCTCATGATTAGTGCAGAAATGCTTGATAGTGTTTTATCATTAATGCTTCCGATTGAGTGCGTTTTCTTCTCCCGCTGAGAATGTTGATAATATTTATAAAAAAGATAAAATACTCATAGTTTTTATATAGAGCTGCGATGTATGTATGTCACGTCCTTAATGTAAGAAGTACGCTAACATTCTCCTAATTGTTGCTGCTTTTTTCTTTTTCCTCTTTAACAATGGAGAATGTTGATAAATGTTAGGAACACATTTCTAGTTTAGTATATTTTTACAGGCATCTATAGGTTTTTAATTCATGTTGGCCAAACAGTAATGTTCTGAACAATGAATATTTCTGGAGTTAGATTTCATCTTTAATATTCAAAATAATTGTTCAGGCGGTGTAGCGAAGGGGTAACTCTTGCGCTTCAAGAGGAGGATTATGAACAAGCCGCAGCGCATATTCATAGGTAATAAACAAGCATATTAATAGGTAAACAATAAACAAGCATATGCATAGGTACACAATAAACAAGCATATTCATAGGTAAACAATAAACAAGCATATTCATAGGTAAACAATAAACAAGCATATTCATGGTAAACAAAAATTAAGCATATTCATAGGTAAAAAATAAACAAACATATTCATAGGTAAACAATAAGTAAACATATTCATAGGTAAACAAAAAATAAACATATTCATAGGTAAACAATAAACAAGCATATTCATAGGTAAACAATAAATAAACATATTCATAGGTAAACAATAAATAAACATATTCATAGGTAAACAATAAGTAAACATATTCATAGGTAAACAATAAATAAACATATTCATAGGTAAACAATAAATAAACATATTCATAGGTAAACAGTAAATAAACATATTCATAGGTAAACAGTAAATAAACATATATTAGCCTTGATATTTAAACTTGATAAACACAATTGTTTTGCTTCTACCCCTGGCTTAATCAGACATCAGAACTTTTGAATCTAGATATCTCGGGATCTCCATTTTATGCAGACCAACTGCCTTACTAACCCCCCCCCCCTGCAAAAAAAATCGTGCATGGATTCGCTGGGTTTGGGAAAATTAATAATTTTTAGAGGGAAATAAATCTTTTTGCGAGTAAAAAGTATCAAAAAGAGTGGAAAAACATAAAAAAAAAATACTTTTTTATCAAAGCATCGCAAATCAATTTTTGAAAAAATCCACCCCTGAAAAACTGAATTCTTAAATTAAGGTTCCTGGGGATGGATGAGGGGGTTCTCCGCTTGACTTCAAGAGACCTAGAGAAATCTGAAGGAGAAGAACAGAAGAAGAGTTCTAGTTTAGATCTTAGTCTGGCAACTCTTCATCAGGCAGAAAACAAGGTATATCAACAGTAAAAGGGGTAAATATTTTCTAACAGATTATTCCCACCTTAAAAAGATATCAAATTGCATGCAATATTTAAGGTTCCGTGGTATGTACAAAAAGGAGAAAACTTGTTTTTAGAAATAAAATAAATTGACATTAAAAAGTTTCCATTTTTCCTTTTATTTTCCTGTCTATTCACAAGTTAATTTCCATTCTCTGACGGTTATTTTAGAAGAATCAACCTTGATTATTATCAATTTTCATCAATGTATTTTTTTCTTTATAAAATTTAATTTTGTCTCGGTTAGGTTCGTGGAATAGTAAACAGACGGTTTGATGAGGCCGTGAATGCTGAGGATCTGGCCTCTATTGAGAGATTTTTCAAAATATTCCCGCTCATCAACCTGCACAGTGTAGGCCTCAACAAGTTCACCCTCTACCTCAGGGGGAAGCTCGCCGCCGCGAATAAGGATAATTTGAAGCAGGCTCTGGAAACCGGACCCGGAGATAAACGATTCAACGTTATTTTCGCGGACACCCTCACACTCCTATTCGAGGGGATCGCCAGGATTGTGGAGATCCACCAACCCTTGATTGAAACCTATTACGGACCAGGACGGATGACTACAGTGCTGGGTTTGCTTCAGGTATGGATCGGACAATAGATAGTTCATGGGATTAATTCCTTTGTACAGCAGGATCTAACTACATCTTTGATCTTTATCTTAACACGTTCTTAGGTTAGGATATACAAGTTCATCTATATAATAAAACAAGACGCTCGTATATATGTATATATATGTTGCCTATGGCCGGCCAAACGGCTCGATTTGGCTTAAATTTTTTGTGGACACTCATGGGTGGACGGTGGGTGTTAAAGGCTAAAAAAATCGAAAAAATTTTCTTCAAATTTTATTTTCATGGGCAACGCCGGACCCTTCAGCTAGTTTATAGTGTTATTGATTCATATCCGTCCGGTAATCTAGATTTAAAACCATTCTTTGATCTAGATTTAAAAAGTTATGCTTTGATCTAGATTTAAAACTATTCTTTGATCTAGACTTAAAACCATCCTTGTATCACGATTTCAACTCATTCGTTGATTTTTATCTTAATCCACTCGTTAATCTTGATTTGAATCCATTCTTTGATTATTGATCTTATTGTTCTGTATAAAATAAATCCTATTGAGTTAACACCAGTTTTGTTTTTAAATATTGATTTAAACATCAATTGTTTTTATTTAAAGGAGGAGTGTGATCGTCAAGCGGAGAAAATATTTCGCGAGTTTAAGAAAAGGCGTGGCATTCAAGACAAGGTTAGTAGTAGCTTTATGATCAATAATAATAAGTATAAGTATAAGTATGTCTTGGGCGGACCGCCTGGTTTTTAAAGAGTCTCCAGAAATGGAGCTGTCTTGGGCGGATCCCCTAGTGTAAGTCTTCTCCCTAGGGTTACCAGTTCGGTCAGCCCTTGGATACGTTTCGGCGGCTAGGAGCGCCGACCCCTATTTCATTGAATGATGGGTTGTCCTTTAATAATAATAATGATGAGTTTAAGCATTTAGCGGATTTTCTATAGAAAGTCCGTTTTCAAGTTTGTTTCTTTTTCTATTGAGATTTGATGGACCAATTAATCAGGGGATTTTCAGCGATCTCTCATGTGTTATAACTATAAGATTTGTGTTTTGAAAGCATCATTTTTTTGTTTATTTTGGGTTATGCGGATCATAAATCAATATTTAATTATATTACAAATCTAGGTGAATAAAGTGCGTGAGGTTCACCTTGGGAAGGTTAAGGAAGAGAATAAACTTCAAGCCAGGGATCTTGACACCATTCTGGGTAATAATATATTTTCTATTTATTTTTTTAAAAAAATTTTATCGATTCAGATTATGATTTCAGTTGTCCGCATATCAATACAGTGTTGGTTACTATGATGGTGATATATAATTTCAGTACCTGATAACTCATTAGTATTGACGTAGGCTCACTCATGAGTTAATTCTACGGAATAATGGTTGATTGCTTGTTAGTTCGTTTTTAGAGACCGAGCAGTCTTTATTGTAAGTTCAATGCCGAATACTGTATGAAATGTCAGCATCTGAACTATATCACCATTTCAGTAAACAATTTTGTATTCATTATATGCTGTCAACGGTATTTTTAAAATCAATGAATCGGATGCGGGTAAAAAAATCCTCGATTCTAAAAATCCTCGAGCAAAATTTTTTTTAACGATTTAATGAAAGGTTTATATTTTTTTCTGACATCCTTTCCTGATTGTTAAGATGTTGATTCTTTTAGATAGTTTTGTCTACTCTTTATATTTATATTCTTCTTCTAGGTGAGATGACCCTTCTTCAGGCACGCGTGGAAATGTATTTCCGGTTTGTACGGAAACGCTGTTTGGCGGATATCGAGGAAAGATTCTTTAAAAACATTTCCAAAACATAATAAATTAATTCTAAAAATCGTAAGAATATTGATGTGAGTTAAAAGTATTTGGATGTAGTTTTATTTGTCATAATTGCAGTTGCCAAGTTGGCATAAGCCCACCAAACTTCCTTAGCCGCAGCGCTCGCCCATTCCCTAATTAAGTTAGATATTCGTAATTAATGTTCTTCTATATAATAAAGCTCTTTGCTGAATGCTCATATATATATATATTCGTATATTTCTTCTTAAAATAAGTTCAGAGCATTTTCTATTGTTTTAGTTTATTGCTGGACACTGTGTTTCATGTTGGACATTCGTATATATTCGTATATTTATATGTTAGCTATATAGCTCACCAAACGGCTGGACCAAATTAGCTGACATTTTTTTAGGAAAACCATGGTTACCTTGCGGGTAACATTTGCTTAAGAAATCCGAAATTTTCTCTATTTTCAAAAATCGGAATTTTTTTAAATTTGAATTTTTTTTCTTAAGTGTTTTTAAAATGCCACGGGCAAAGCCGCGCACCTATTACATATGGTAAATTAGGCTATTACATATTATGGCAAACGTAACCAGGTTAATTTATGGCAAATGTAGCCAGTATAATTTATGGGAATTGTTTCAAATGGCAGATAAATTATAGCAGATGAAGTGAGACTGTTTTTAATAAAGAGTTTGAGCTGATTAGGTTAGTGAGACTGGAGGATCCGAGACGGTGGAGAAGATGCTCACCACCAGCGATCTAAACAGGTTCAGTACTTCGAGTACCAAAGACATATTATGAGTTAATCAAAGAAAAAAGCTGACCGATTTTTCCGAAAAATGCGCTGAAAGAAGACTAAATTCGTCAAAAGAATTAATAGTTTGTGTTCGCTTTTGGGTCAGAACATATGTGAATGTATTTTTTCTGTCCAATTTAGAATATTCTAATATCTAACTTTTGAATGTCAACATGAGATACGGATTAAATTAAAACAAAGCATAAAATGTGTTTGTAATAAATTAGGTTCAGTCCTTATCGATTTTAGGTTTTTTATGGTAGGTTATAAAAAAATTGAAGTAGTTTTTATTTCTAATTATTTACTATTCTGTCTTATTTTACTTGCTCATCATTTTGAAAATTATCCAAACAAGCTTAATTTTGATTTTAATGATTTTATATTTCAGGATTGCACAGGATAGTTTAGGAGATTATATTCTGCTGGAACATTTCTTTATGTCGGAGAATATTGCTAAGGTTTCATATTATTATATTCTAAATCAAAATTTAAATTCTTGATAAATATTTTAGCTTTATTTACAAATCAGGGGTAAATGTTTTCAGGGTTAATATAGAAATATAATTTGAAGGGATTCAGAGTGATTTTGTACATAATTTCAAGACATTGTTTAGAGAACTTGAAACTTAAGTGAAATTCATGTAATTTCTTTTGTTGTTTAAATTTTGATTATCACAAAAATAGATTTTGCTTTCTAGAAGGAGTAATATATCGTTGTTTGAGAGTAAATAAAAAAATTGATTCCTCGCCACAAACTCTTATTTTCTAATCTTTATATCTTTGGAATTATCTGGTTCAAGACTTAGATAACTGTGATAGATTAAAATTTTTAGATCAAATATGAATTTTTTTATTTTAATAGTGAATTTAATCACAAAAGCTTTTTTAGCAATCGCCCTTTTAAAAAATTTTATCGTCAATATTTTAGAGCTTGTTTTTGTTCAATTCATACTTTTTTGTTTGTTTTGTTTTCAGGTGTTTCAAAACCAGATGAAACTAGGTTTCCCAAGTACCTACCTGGACCAAGCATATACAGTGATACAATCCTCTCTCCAGGGTAAGCTAGGAGCTCCATCTGACTCCGAGCGCCAGAAGCAGTTGTTCCTGGCGTACCTTAACAACACGGAGAGCGGGACGGAGTATTTAACTCGTCTACAGAACTCCGTCCAGATGGATACAAGTGTTCTTTCTGCATCCCTGAACCCCAAGCAGGCAGAGAAAATACAGAACTGTCTCTCCGGTATGATCAGTGTAAATGACAGGTTGAAGATCGTCCTGGATACTGGGATGGCCGCGCTCCGAACTGCTGTCGTGAAACCACGTCTAAAACCCTGGATTGATAGTTTCACAACGATCCCTCATAATATCAACGATGAGCAGTACTCGGAGTTTGAGGCGAACGATCCCTTTGTTCAGGGTTTAATCGTGAACCTTGACGGACTATTGAACACCTTCAAGATCGGATTGACGACAGGGAACTACGAGAGGTTTGTGATGCTAGTGGCAGGGGAGGTCACATTACAACTAGAGAAGGCAGTCATGAAAACCTCGTTTAGTAGACTTGGTAAGATATAATGTTATCTGTACAGGGTGTCCCAATAAACATGACAATTGATAGAAAACATTGAAAGATCTTTGCTAGAAATTTAATGACTTTATGTCTGTGTCATCTAGAATGGTTGCATGACTAATAACTTATTAGCCTTGAAAAACATATAATAACTTCTTTGTATGTTAAAAATAGATGCACAGTTTTACGTTTAAATTTGAACAAAATTCTTTAATTTTACGGTAATTTTTAAAGGACAAGAAATGCAGACCACAACTATGGGGTTTTCCATGATTATTGTGTCAATAATCATTCAAGTAGAGTTAGGTTCTCGAATAATGCCGCAAATTATTTGCAGGGGGTGGGGGGTTAATTCTGAAAAATATACAATATACAGTATGCACCCTTGATTACTTTATATGGACGACATAATTTTCTGTAATTTTTAGAAGAAATATTGTGTTCAGTGGGACATCCTGTTTTTTTTTAACTATTCAGACCTTAGATTTGAAATGAACTTCATATGCTTTGGTTTAGGTGGATTACAGTTTGATAAAGAGGTTCGTAGTTTATCCTCCTACCTTACCTCAGTAACTACCTGGACTATCAGGGATAAATTCTCCCGTCTTGTTCAGATTTCATCAGTACTAAACGTGGAAACTCTACAGGAGGTTAGATTTACAATAATTTTAGACTAGCACGGAGAATAGGATGATGGGTGGAAGTAATAGGAGCATTGAAAGGGAGCAGGGAAAGGAGTTAAAGGAAAAGGAGCATGGCAAGGGAACATGGTGAAAAATGAAAGGAATAGGACATTGGTAAGTAACATGCTACTAAATGAAAGGAATAATAGCATTGAAAGGGAACATGCTAATAAAGGAAAGGAATAGGAACATTGAAAGGGAACAGGGTGATGGGTGGAAGGAATAGGAGTAAATTTGAAGGGAACAGGGTGATTGGTGGTAGGAATAGGAGTAAATTTGAAGGGAACAGGGTGATAATTAATAGAAATAGTGGTATTGGACGGGGACAGGGTGAAGCGTGGAAGAAAAGGAGCAATAAAAGGGAACTGAGTTGTAGTTTACAGAAGAAACTAGGAGTTGGGCATTAACCTTAAAGGGAATAGGAGTGAGGCACGACGAAAGAAAATGGGAGTTGTAAAGGATTTTGGGATAGGATTTAAGGAAATGGAAGTTGGATAGGATGGGAGAGAATGGAAAGTGGATAGGATGGGGGAGAATGGAAGTTGGATAGGATGGGGGAGAATGGAAGTTGGATAGGATGGGGGAGAATGGAAGTTGGATAGGATAGGGGAGAATGGAAGTTGGATAGGATAGGAGAGAATGGAAGTTGGATAGGATGGGGGAGAATGGAAGTTGGAGAGANGGTTCAGATCTCTGAACATCTAGGTCTGGTTCAGATCTCTGAACATCAAGGTTCAGATCTCTCAACATCTTCTAGGTTAGAATGGAAGTTGGGTAGGATTCAAAATAATGTACAGGGAGCTGTGTAGAGCAGGATGCATCGAGCAGGGTAGGTTTAAAACCTTCTGAAAATAGAAGGAAGCGAGAGATGGGTTTGGTCAAAAAGAGAAGAAACAGAATACTGAAGTGCTCCAACCATGGCTGTCTGGGTTCTCCAACACGAAGTTGCTTTCAGATCTCTCACCTGATATTCCTGATTAAATGAATTGACGAAAACGATTTATTTGGGAGTCAATGGGTCATGGAAAAATACATTGATACACTTTCATTTGTAATACGACACCTTTTGAAATTGGGAGTTATTATTTATCTGACTGATACAGCAAGCGAAGTTGGTTTTTAACTGGAATAAAAATATTAAGATTGTAAGTGCATACACAGTTCTACTGGACTAAGCAGTAGCGTATGTATACCAGAGTAATGATCCTCTTCGATAACGCCATCATAACCTAGCACTTGATAGAGAAAGGGCTCTTGGTGAGCATGGAGGTGGCTGTCGAGTTATTGGAGTGGTATTCTGCCCTGGTGCAAGAAGGAATCGAGTAAATTTATTCTCCCATCTGCCTGCACATTAAACCCTGTCACCCCTTTATATTTCAATTAAAAATAATGATTAAAGATTTTATAATAAAAAAAATTTGATTTAAAATTATCATCCTGTATATTTATCCGAGGATAAACCGGGATATATTGTTAAATGTTAATAGTTTTATGATAAAACATTGGATTATAAATAATCACCCTGTATATATATATCCGAGGATAAACCGGGATATATTTCTAAGAGAAAATAGTTAAGAGTAATATTGTTACTAGGTTAGTGAGTTCTCCGGATCTCAGTCTGTATCCTCATGGAAACTAGCTCCGGCAGAGGTAAACCTGTCCGTCTGTCTGATTTCTTGTTTGTCTGATTATTTGACCGTTTGTCTGTCTGTCTATCTATCCAAACTATAGTAATCAACTAGATTTTATTTTAATTGGTGCTCCACTCTTGCATATTAGGAAACCAGATGATTCCTGGGTGGGGTAAGGTTGGGGGAATACTTTTTAAATAAAAATATATACCCGTGTGCTTAACCTTGAAAAGATTTTGCTGAAGACATGTAACTTATATAATTGATTCTAAACAATAGCATCTCTGATAACAGACATTTCGTATAAAATTGAAACAAAATATTGAAAATAGCATATTTTTTAAGAAATCAAACATGACTCATTGGTTTTTTTAGGATTGGTCTAGTTTAAACTTCAGAAAATTTTGTCAAATGATAAATAAGAAGAATGTGGCAAAAAAAATTCTGAACATCTAGGTCTGGTTCAGATCTCTGAACATCAAGGTTCAGATCTCTCAACATCTAGGTTAAGATCTCTCAACATCTAGGTTAAGATCTATGAACAATATTGGTTCAGATCTCTGAACATCTAGGTTCAGATCTCTGAACATCTAGGTCTGGTTCAGATCTATGAACATCTAGGTTTAGATCTCTGAACAATCTAGGTTTAGATCTATGAACAATCTTGGTCCAGATCATGAACAAACAGGTTCAGATCTCTGAACATCTAGGTTTAGATCTATGAACAATTTAGGTTCAGATCTCTGAACAATCTAGGTTCAGATCTCTGAACAATCTAGGTTTAGATCTATGAACAATCTTGGTTCAGATCTATGAACAAACAGGTTCAGATCTCAGAACATCCAGGTTCAGATCTCAGAACATCTAGATTGAGATCTCTGAACATCTAGGTCTGGTTCAGATCTCTGAACATCAAGGTTCAGATCTCTCAACATCTTCTAGGTTAAGACCACTGAATAATCTAGGTTCAGATCTCTGAACATCTAGATCAAGATCTTCCAACATTCAGGTTCAGCTAGATAACAGGACAAGTGAACCACTAAATTTATCTTCAAATTTAAATTTGACTTTATGATGCACCTCAACTGTGATAAAATACTTTTCAATCGGTTTTTATTTTTCTACTTTTAATTGCTAAGGAACTATTGTATAATGCTGAAAAGCTAAAGATAGTTCCTCGGAGTTGATATAATATTTTGTATTTTAAGTTTTAATATTGTTTAAATTTATTATCTATATATAGATTTATAAACCTCACTGTATTTCCAGATATTAGTATGAATGACAATGAAAGACTCTGAGGAAAGAAGCTCAGAGGTGAAATTATTTTCTTTTTAAGTCATAAAAAGTTTCATAAAATATACATTTATTGTAGCTTTTTGTGTGTGTTTGTGCTTAATATTTAACTTTTTTGGTTCTCTTTCTTGTGGACAGAGACATTCCACGGAAGCGTATTTTGTTGATATTATTATTATCATTATAAAAAAATACCTTCTTTTTCTTAGATAGAATTTAAGAGAATCATTTTTAACTTTCCCCTTAATCTTTTTCAATCTTCTTTTATTGGTTAATCTTCAGTTTGCTCATAACTATGAGGCCCATTTTTCAAATTGTAACCTTAATTACTCACACATGTTAGAATTAAATATGCTAAAAGGATATATAGTCTTATCCTAAAGTTTCTGACAACGTTTCTGCAGCCAAATGTCTGGGCCGAGCGCCGCGGCTAGAATAAGCAAGGAAGCCGATTTATATGCAGTCGAATCTTAAATTAGATATTCGAAAAAATGAATATTAAAAGAAAGAAGAGGAGCTTAGACATTACATTATGATGTACATGTAAGAAATGAGGGGGGGGGGGTGAAATCTATAAATCTTGTTCTATGAAAACATATAAATATTGAACCCTGTGATTAATCAGGATGAGGAGGGTGTAGAGGAACTGGCCGAGAATACAACCGTTATAGCGGTCAACATCGCCTCCCTAGCAGCAGGAGATGGTAACAGTCTACTGAATCGTCCTACTCCTAACATAGCTAGAACTCCGTCTAATAGATCAGCTAACGATACTAGAGAAAGTGTGTTAAAGGTCAGTGCTTCAAAAAAGGCTTATATTCTGCTTTTTACTTAATTTTTTTTATCAGTCCAGGAATACAATGAACCTTATTATGCCTTGTACCATCTATTTAATAAAAATTAAGAAGATTAAAATTGTAAAAATTAAATTCATTAGTCCAGGAACCAGATTTAATGAATAAGAGACGTAATAATTTTTAAATTAAACCACTTCTCTTCACCATGAACTTATTGTTGAACCACTCAATGATTATAGCGAGATAAAGAATATCGTTTAGATTTAAAATTATTAATAATAAAACCATAATCGTCTTAATTGTGAACGAAATCATTTTAAAGGCATAAAAAGGCAGACAACATTTTGGAAATTGCAGGACTAGGGTCATTTTCTGATTAATTTTTCATGAATTATACATGTCAGATTATACATGTCAAATTATACATGTCAAATTATACATGTCAAATTATACATGTCAAATTATACATGTCAAATTATACATGTCAAATTATACATGTCAAATTATACATGCCAAATTTGTTTGACAAATTAATACCACAAATCATTTTAGCGATAACAGACGATTTTAAGTCGTTTCTCAATTGTCATGACATTCCCGTTCATTTTTGATATCACTCTGCTGCTGTTCAGGGTAAAAAGCTAGGCCACAGACGAGTAAAGGATGGAGAGGTCACGTATAAGAAGTTTGAGACGGGTCAACTCATGGGTAGTATTCAGCTGGGTATACAGAACAGTGTGGGAAACCTTACAGCACAGGTTCTTACAATATTAATATTTATATTTTTTATTCTTACTAAGATACTTTTTCATTAGCGTACGATAATCGTAAATTACAGGAATACTAATTGTAATTTATTAAAAATTATTGATTATTATTATTAAAACTGACGAAAAGCCGATTTTCCATTAAATTTTATTAATTAAGTTGTAGAAATGTTCCTGTAAACTTCACTATTAGTTTTTTATTTTAATTGAACACGTAAACTCTGTACGTTTCTTGAGACCAGGAAAACTTCATAAAGTACTTTTTGATCTATTTTTGATTAATTAAAAAAGGAGCGAAATATAAGGCTACTGTTAAAATTGGTTGAATACACGAATTAACTGCTGATGATGACACTAATAATAATACTTATGTACACTGTTCACTGTACTGACACGGATGATAATATGTATGTATTCTGTACGTACACAAATGATAATATTTAGGTACAATATACTGACAGGAATGATAATATTTATGTACACTATACTGACACGAATGATAATATTTATGTACACTGTACTGACACGAATGATTATATTTATGTATACTGTACTGACACGAATATATGACTTTATTTATGTACACTGTACTGACATGAATGATTATATTTATGTACACTGTACTGACACGAATATATGACTTTATTTATGTACACTGTACTGACCTGACATGAATGACTATTTTTATGTACACTGTACTGACACGAATGATTATATTTATGTACACTGTACTGACACGAATGATTATTTTTATGTACACTGTACTGACACGAATATGACTATATTTATGTACACTGTAATGACACGAATATGAGTATATTTATGTGCACTGTACTGACACGAATATGACTATATTTATGTGCACTGTACTGACACGAATATGACTATATTTATGTACACTGTACTGACACGAATATGACTATATTTATGTGCACTGTACAGGAAGACAGAGATCTACTTCACGCGGATTTCTACACGGTGGAAACTGTCGTCTTCTCCAGGCAAACATTGAATAAAAGTCAAATAAATAAGATAGATAGATAAATACACACATAGTTTATTTGTAGTTCAACTGTTAAAATTTTCTTGAAATCATATATTGAGAACTAAATTCAGTTTCTCTTAACCGGCAGATCTCTTGTTGGTCGAATCTTTAGGTTTGGACCAATGAGAGATTGGATAATCCCCAGCTTAACTCCTGCCGATTATACAAGAGTTCAAGTGTGTTAACATGTGACAAAAAATGAGATTATAAAATAATTTTATTAATGGTGAATGATAGGGACGGATTACTCCAGAAAACTCCTGCACATAATTACTCCCAGTTTAAGATTAGAACATACGCACCCTTAGCTTTCAGGTAGAGTGTCTTTTCGATTAATAAAAACTAAGATTTAAAGGAATTAAGTCTTTGCCACAAACTCATTTTTCTAATCTTAATATCTTTGCAACCTGATGATGGAAACATAATTCATAGTTGAAAAATCTAAGGTCTACGACATTGGGCTGCAAAGATATAGGGATTAGAAAATCAGAAATTGTGACTAAGACTTTTGAGAAAAGAAGCGACATTTTTTCCGGTCAAATTTTTTCAAATTTGAGGTCTGTTAAACTGCCTGGGTTCATTTAAGTTGCCACAATAAATTTGGACCGGACGTTTATTTGATACAGACAGACAGACAGACAAACAAACATACAAGTCAAATATATATAAATAGGTTGGGGATTGCATTAATTATTTCAATTTGTCTTGCAGAGTTTTTGGTAAACGGTCAATTTCTTTAACATTTTAATAAAGATTCTGTTGTAAAATTCTTGTTGGAAAGTCTCAAACCAAAAAAAGTATAATTGTACGTGTATTTTATATTTTTGTACGTTTGTACAAATTCTTGACTTTCCACTGTACATTGTATAGTGTATACCATAAACTTCACACTAAACAGGAAGTTCCGGAACATTTTCGAGATAGAGCGGGACAAATTCTTGGTTTCCTTGTGCGCGGAACCAATGATAGAGCTGAGTAATCCCGGGGCCTCAGGATCCATTTTCTACAGGACTCTAGGTAACAGATTATTTTAATATCCATTTATGTCATTGTGATGGGTAATATTAAGTGCGAACAAGTTTTTTTAGAATTTTTATTTTTTCTAGTTTGTTTGAGATCAAAATGAAAGTATTTTCACACCGAACTTTTTCACAGGCCTGATACCCATAACAATAACTTAATAACATACCTTTTTCTGTTAAATTTTACTCAACTTATTTGATAGCAGATCTATAAAGTTACTTTATCACTCTGTTGTAGGGTGATAAAGTCACTTAATCACCCTTCAACGGGAAATATAAGGTGTAATAAATTCACTCAAAATTCAGTAAAGAAAATTATCCACAAGGTAATAAAGAAATATCATCCTTTTTAATGAAAAAATTTAGTCTTTAAAGTTTTTTGTTCTTTTTCCCAGGAGGAGGGGGGGTGGAAAGCGTATCCCCCCCCCGCAATAATAAAACAATCATAATGGTTTGTTGATTGTAAAATAATATTTTGTTTAGATGATGAAATTATCGTCAAGACTGTTTCCCACAAAGAATCTAAATTTCTACAGGAAATACTGCCAGCATATTACTTAAACCTTCATCAGAACTTTAGGAAGGGATTCATAATTCTATTTTTTCCCCGAAAAATTAAAATTGGATAAAGATATGTTATAACCTAGTTCTAACTAGTGTTGGTTTTCCGTTGTAGTGAAAATTACATTACCAAAAAAGTATATAGTTGAATTGCAAATCGTAAAGCCAGGCTTAATTTTTGTATTATTATAGTTACTTTCAATTTGAATTATGGAAGTAGGATATCCCTAGAAATTATATTTGATTGATACCTAGTCCTAATTAGTTTCGTTAATCGTTTTGGTTTGGTTTTAAGAATAAAAAGAAATCTTCCCAGATTACAGTTTAACTTTTAATAAAATTTGCATTATCGTTATCCTAAAACGATCGTTGTAACGTGTTCGTTTTTCTTTTATTTTGGGATCGTTTTTTTTTCATATGCACTATAGTGTAAGGGTCAAAATTTGGCATACTGTAGTAAGTGCAAATGTTTAGAATAAACAGTTTTGAAAAATTTGCTCTTTCATTGTGTCAAATGAGCCTGAAAAAGATATCGTTAAAATTATTTTTCCGATATCAAGTTTTTTTAACAATGTATTAACTTACACCTCCTTACGATTTCGATAAACACTACCTTCAAGAAGCTTCAAAATATCCTCCCCATAACTTTTGAGAATATGATTTCCTGCTTTTTAGGACACTCTTGCCAAAATTCTTCGGATTCTACTGTTATTCATGTAAGTATTATTTTTTGTCAGGATTAACAATGATCTACTGAAGGGTGAAGTGTCTCCCGGGTTAAAATTTTATTCATTCTTATTGGTTTGGCAGGTTTTCGGTACTCTTCTAAAGTTCTAAGGCTTTTTCTCCAGTTCAGTGCGCAACTTCTCAAATGTACAATTTATTATATAGCTCCTAATTGTGGCGCATTTTGTGGATATTTCTAAACTAAACCTTTAAACTGTTCAAGTTTCTTTCTGTCTCCATTAACATTTAAAAAATATCTGTTTGGGAAAAAGTTCACTTGTGAAAGTGCTTTTAAGTCCCCTGAGAAGTTGTCCTTCACATTCGAGAAATATTAAGACATATTTTAGTGTCTTTTGTTCAATTCTCTCTGATATCGCTTACCTTCAATTTCATTTCCCATGTTTTAATTTTATTCTTTAATCTTTTTTAGCGTTACTAGGCTTTTAGGACGCTTCGCGCTCATCGTCTATATTTTTTCGCGCATTTTCAGAATTTTACAAAAATAAAAAACTTTTAAACGCAAATTTTTAAAATTTTGATCATTTATAAACCTTCCCGGGGTCAATGAGGTCTCACACAAAATTTGGGCCCGATCGGTTCAGCTGTTTTGACGTTTATTGGATACAAACAAACAGACAGACAAGCCAATTTTATATATAGATTGTAATTATAAACATTGTTTAGGTAACACTAAGAATGTGAGAATAGTTGTAATGAAGAATCTGCTCCCCTCAGGGCTGGAAATTCATCACAAATTCGACCTTAAGGTAGGATTGATACTTCTTTATTCGTGTTCTTGTCAACATATTGATTCATCATATTTGTCCAGGGTTCAACTTACGGAAGACAAGCTGACCGGAAAGAGCGGAAGAAAGCTCACCCAACTTATAAAGATTTAGATTTCCTTGAAATGTATCCGGACGGAATTCATCTACAGCAGGAGATTCTTTCCTGTCTCATGGATACCATAGAGAGGGACTGCCGAGCACTGGAGAGCTTAAAGATCATGGATTATTCTCTTCTTCTCGGAGTTCATGTCATTGATCCTCAATCCTCGGAGAAGAAACCCGTCTCCGTGTTCGGTGATGATCTGTACGGGTCCAGTGGAGACAGTGATGATGGAGAAGAACGTGTTCGTCGACCTGGAATGCTGGAACGTGTTGGATCTATGCAACAGCGGCAGAGATTAATTGCGCATTCAACTGCCTTGGAATCAATTACGGCGGAGGTTGACGATGCTGCTATGGCGGACATGGTTGACGAAAGCGAAACGGCGGATAGAATAACGACATGGGGCGGAATCCCGGCCAAAAATAGCAAGGGAGAAAATCTACTTCTTTTCATAGGAAACCTAAGAATTATTTAGAATTTAAAATTTTGACAAAAAGAAAATGTTCTTAAAATTAAAAAGAAAATGTTCCTAAAAATAAAAAGAAAATGTTCCTAAAATTAAAAAGAAAATGTTCCTAAAATTAAAAAGAAAATGTTCCTAAAATTCAAAAGAAAATGTGCCTAAAATTCAAAAGAAAATGTTCCTAAAATTCAAAAGAAAATGTGCCTAAAACTAAAAAGAAAATTATCTATCTTTATTCTTGGTTTGATTTAGGAATAATTGATATTTTACAGTCATATGGAATAACCAAGCAACTAGGAAAGCAAATGAATAATGTTATCTTTTAATCCAAAATTTGTCCTTCAAAAATTGCCGCAGTCCGTTCTTCAAACTTATACATTTTCCGCACATTGTCCTTTACTTTGACTTTCACGCAGTTTGTCCCTTCAGTAGTCCTTAAGTCTTTTAGTAGTTTCCCTCGAAATTATGAATTTGTCATGGTTGCATTTTAATTTATCCAATATTTTGAACAAATGTTATTGTTTTGCTCCGCGTTTTAGAACATACCTGGAAATCTCTGATACACGACGGAGATACAGTGTCTGTTCACAGACCAAGTTTCTACGCGGAGAGGTTTAAGAAGTTCATGTCGGAGAAGGTTTTTACGAAGATGCCGTCCCAATTAAAAACCACTCAATCCATTAGACGAAGTAATGGATTTTCTAAAAGAGGTCCTAAGATGAAAGAGGAGGAAAAGCTGCAGCCTGTTTCAAGGTTTCCATCGTTTTTTAATCATGGTTATCATTAATATTAATATCCAACAGATGCTGAGAAATACCTTTTATTTTACCTTACAGGTTTAAATAAAAAAGTTTTTGACGTCATGGAATTGCAAATATACTAGCTTTATTTCTTCTAAGAAATGGTTTTCCATAAAAAGTTAAAATAATAGACATATTTTAGAACCGAGGTTCCCCACAGAAGAACCCAGTCTACTGGAGATGCACCTGGAGTAACAGTCATAACTATAGGTTAGGGTTATATATTTTAAAGAAGTAACCCCAACTTTGAGGGAGGGAGGGGGGTTTCAAAGATAAATAATTGGCCATTTAAAAAAATTCTTCTTTCGAAAAAATCAATGTATTTATTCTTAAACACATTTATTTCCCCAATGTCAGCGATAAAATCCTCTAAAAAGTGTGGTTTATTTTATATTAATAAATACACATTACATTAGGATCAGATACACAGGACGGTATCCTTCCTTCCATCTTAAGAGACAAGCCCCGTAACCTTGCTACTCCTGGTAAAATATCCTACTCCGCTCCCCGGTTCCACTCCTCCCGCCCTGACGTAGCGGACGTAGTTGCTGTAAGCTGTACCCCACCCCCTGATCTAGGGGGTATAACCAACAGTGATGAGAGGGTTCAGATCTATGTTCCTTCTCCGCAGAGTACTCCGTACTCAACCATAGGGAAAAAGGGTTTAGATACTCACAGATCAGTTACTCTACTCAACTACAAGCAGGAGCATATGATTCCTGTAGAGTCTGTTCAGGTTAGAACAAATCTTTTTTATTTTTGATTCAACCAGAGAACACAGTTGAAATCGAAAGTCTCTATTTGAATAATTAACTGATTTGAAATGAGTTAATTTGTCAAGTTAAATGGAATTTAACTGTTTGAACCCAGAATAGAATGGATGCAGGCCAGTTGTTTAATTTATATTGAATTTATATATCAAGTATCATTGGTTTGTTATTATACTGGATCGGTGTAATCGGCGACAAATCCTAAAAACTAAGAGAATAAAAATCAATCTAATATGTAATAGAGATTTCCGAATTAATAAGGTTTGGGGTTTTATCGTTGTTATTCTACCCTGCGTAAACCCAAGCTAGTTTTTGAAACAATATATTAATTTATTCTAGTTTTTTGGAGTCCGGGAATATATGTACTCTACCTAAATGTGTCTGGTATTGTGGAAATATTTAAATAGAATAGATTTTTTAAGAGAGATATTTTCAACCATAGATTGAAAACTATATTTTATAGTTAAACTGCATGAATTTTTCATCTTATTATAAGTTAGTAATACATTTTTTTTGCTTCTTAAAATTTGGCACACTTAGGTCTTTTTAGCAGATCCTAATCGCGATTGGGTAATTTTTATAGAGTATTTTTTCGGAATTTTTACTCAGATTTATTGTTTTTAGTTATATTAATGTATCCTGTTATCAAAGGGTTACCTCAAAAAACGTTAAAAATTCCTTTAATTTGCAATAAAAAGTGTTAACAATAGTTTTGCCGTGACCAGAATTTTCACGTGGTTAAGGTCTTAGAAATAATAGTGTTATGTTTTCAAGATAAAGGAATTGAGTTTTTCCAACAAATTCTAAATTTTTCATGCCTATATCTTTGCAACACGATGTTGTAGACCTTTGATATTTCAAACTATATATTATGTTAGATCAAAAAGTTTAAGTTTGAAATATCTAACATTTACGCCATCCGTTTACATAGATATAGGGATGAGAACATTTGAGTTTGTGGCAACAACTCAGTTCCTTTAGTAAGGGTTTAAATGTTTTGCCTAATGTTTGTTTTGACCAGGGACTAGATATATAATTGATTCATCATAGATGGATTTTGACGTCGAGAACCTTAAAATATAGATTAGTTGGTTATGATTTACCTGACTTCTCTTCCTTCAGGAAGAGTCTTACTTTATTTATATTAAAGCTAAACCTGAAAGTTTAGTGTTTTAATATTAATTTTAACTATTGTATCAGACCGCACTTTTTCATAATATTTTTTGTTTAGATGGAATCCATTGTGTCAGGTTGTACTGACACTTCAATTATAGAAACAGAGACATCTATTGTTGAAATTATACAATCACAGGTTCGTAGATAGAATTGAGCTCATTCACTTTGTAAAATTTAGAATTGGAATTTTCCTGTTTTTAACAGTGTTGAGAATAGGATTTTTGAAAAATATAGCGTAACCTGGCGCAACTGGAGTATGTTTTAGGGGGGGTTGTTTTTTATGTGAAGATGTATTTATATATTTTTTAATAATGGGATCTTAAAATTTTGGGACCTTTTTCAAGTACACCATGTCATTTTCAGCATTTTCCCCAAATTTTGACCAGAAAATACCTCTTAATTTAATAGCCTTGCAAAATTAAAGATTGTACTCGAACAATATTCTACCTTGTATTTTTATGATTTTTTGGCAATTTTGATACTTTACTAATTGATATCATATATATACAGGATGAACCCGTTAGTATATCTCAAGTTTACATAGAAGTAGATTCAAACCTTATCCAGGCTGCAGATTAGCAAACTCAGATGAACAGGCATCAGATTAGCAAACTCAGAAGGACAGACATCAGATTAGCAAACTCAGAAGAACAGACATCAGAATAGCAAACTCAGAAGGACGGACATCAGATTAGCAAACTCGAAGAACAGACATCAGATTAACAGATATGATATCAGAAACAAATAAACCTAATGCCAGATAATCAGCTGAAAAAAGAAATAAAAATCAGACTATCATCTGAAAAGAAGAGGTAAAAATCAGACTATCATCCTAAAAAGAAGAAGTAAAAATCAGACTATCATCTGAAAAGAAGAAATAAAATGTCAGACCATCTGAGAAGGATATCAGCAGTAAACTAATCTGAAAAATATGCCTCCAAAGCAAAGAATAATACTATAAATGAAACATCTATTACTCAAAATTACTCAAAGGAATTGAGTATTTGTCACAAACTCTGATTTGCTAACCCCTCTATCTTCGCTACTCAATGTCGTAGACCTTTGACATTGCAAACTATGTATGTATACTGTTGGATAAAAAACCTAAGTTTGAAATATTAAAGGTTTACACCATCAGGTTACAACGATATAGAGATTAAAAAATATTGAGTTTGTTGCAGTGACTCTATTCCTTTTCACAAAATTTACACCTAGCACGATTTATGTATTCTCAAAGTTAAATACTACTAAAAATAAGGATCTTATTATAAGTACTATTAATGACTAAAACTTTTTATTAAAAGTGTGATTCAAGGTGAAGTTGATATCTTTTGATATAAGTTTAGTGTTTATGCATCATTATTGGGATTTATTTTTTTAACGGATTTTCACTGATTCGGAGAAAGCCTTTAAATCTTTAGAATAGATTTCGCACAACTTGATAACAACAAAATATACTTTTTTGTTAAAACCTTTGCACAATTGAACGCGTATGGATGTCGGTAAAAATCTCATATCTTTTTACAACTTAATTTAACCCAGAAGTAAATCCAGTATTAACCATATAGGGAGGTATACCAATAGATTTTATAGGAATCTCGCTGTAAAATTTAGTATTTAGAATTAACAAATTTGTATTAAAGTTCGTCAATGTTAGAATTGAATCTGTAGAATTATTAAGAAATTCCTAAATATTGTTTTAAATCGGTTTGGTTTGGTTGGTGCTATTTAACAACTATGGAAGTATTTTTGTCCCTTGCACTTTTTTCGCTCAAAAGTTTTTGTTTTGAAATCTGAAACTACATGTCAATTGATCTGAACCTTGAAATAATTGATCTTTTAAACATCTCTTTTCAGCCTACACTTCCTGTTGTTAATTCCGATGTTATATAACTCTAATTCACTTAAGACCCTCTCCATTGTGCTAGTATTGCTAATTTTGCTGTGATGATTCATATCTTGTATTGTAATATTTATAGCTTTCCATTGGCACTACTAGAGGGTTTGCAAGGGTAGGGCGCAAAAAAATTATGTTATGAAAAATTCTTTCATTTTTTACTGAATTAAATTGTAAGGGGCGCCTTCCCCCCTAATCCCTAGTTGCGACGGTGAGGCTGTTATAAGTTAAATATATATGTGCATGTATATAAATTAATTGGATTAATGTACAATCCATGATGATCGTGGTATTCTATAAATTCATAAGTGTATAAATGTGTAATTGTATCAATGTATGAATGATAAATTGCTTATCCACTATTTCCAAAATTTTTATAAACTACACATCAATGTCTTGTTAAGAAAAATATAGTTTAACATCCCCCCNAGGATAACATAGATGTAGTCTGCAGTTACAGACATATTTAGAATAGGATAACATAAATGTAGTCAATGGTTAACCCCCCCCATTATAAAAAAAACCTACATACCATGTCAATAGAAAATGTTTTGACCTTGGCTGTTGGGGAATCTGAATTTTTGTACAGTACTTATAAGCATGATGAAATCAGATCATAATTTGTTAAAAACATTGTTTATAATGGAATAAAAAGATATTTGTCACCTGTAATTAATATCAATTTTTTTTTGTTATTTTACCTTTTTTTGTGCATGGAAAATTTGCTGCATATCTCAGAGGTTTTCCAATACTTATAAGATGTTTTGAAATTTTTTCGGTATAATGCGAAAAATTCTGTTTTAAATTTTTGTGTTCCAAATTTTTGATTACATACAGTGTTTCCCCTCTGGAACCCCCCTTTCCCATCGATTATTTTTTTAATTTGTTGCGTAATATTTGTAATTATTAAGTTTTCATTACTCTGATCCTCGTAAACCCTACTTGAGGGTTGAGTGGAGTCTGCCCGTTCCAACCTACCAGTGGTAGTTTAATATTGGAGCTACTCAGTCCACCATTCAAATAATAAACACGTTCTAGAATTTGAAGGTTTTTCAGATAAACCATTAATAATGCAGAATGGAGAAAACACAGGATAACCCCGAGAAGAATAAGTATGAAATTTTAATTAACGTTTTTAGAAATATATTCTGTAGGAAAAGTGGAACAGATATTTTCAAGATAGGGCAGCCTGCAGAATAAGTTTAGATAAAGTAGCACAGACGTAGTCTGCAGATGCAGATATATTTAAGATAAAGTAGCATTAAAGTAATTTTAGATACAGATATTTCAAGATAGGGTAGCATAGATGTAGTCAGTAGATACAGATATATTTAAGATAGGGTAGCATAGATGTAGTCTGTAGTTACAGAGATATTTAAGATAAAGTAGCATAGATGTAGTCTGCAGATGCAGATATATATATATGATAAATTAAATACAAATGTATTTATGATAGGCTAGCATAGATGTAGTCTGTAGTTACAAATGTACTAGAGATAGGGTAGTATAGATGTAGTCTGTAGTTATAAATGTATTTAGATAGGTTAGCATAGATCTAGTCTGTTGTTACAAATGTATTCAAGATAGGGTAGCATAGATGTAGTCTGTAGATACAAATGTATTTATGATAGGTTAGCATATCTGTAGTCTGTAGTTGCAAATGTATTTAAGATATGGTAGCATAGATGTAGTCTACAAATGTATTTAAGATAGGGTAGCATAGATGTAGTCTGTAGATACAAATGTATTTATGATAGGTTAGCATATCTGTAGTCTGTAGTTGCAAATGTATTTAAGATAGGGTAGCATAGATGTAGTCTGTGATTACAAATGTATTTAGGATAGGGTAGCATGGATGTAGTCTGTAGTTACAGACATATTTAGAATAGGATAACATAGATGTAGTCTGTTACAAATATATTCAAGATAGGGTAGCATAGATGTAGTCTGTAGATACAAATATATTCAAGATAGGTTAGCATAGATGTAGTCTGTAGTTACAAATATATTCAGGATAGGGTAGCATAGATGTAGTCTGTAGTTACAAATGTGTTTTTGATAGGTTAGCATTGATGTAGTCTGTAGTTAAAAATGTATTTAAGATAGGGTAACAAAGATGTAGTCTGTAGATACAAATGTATCTAAGATAGGGTAGCATAGATGTAGTCTGTAGTTACAAATGTATCTAAGATAGGGTAGCATAGATGTAGTCTGTAGATACAAATGTATCTAAGATAGGGTAGCATAGATGTAGTCTGTAGATACAAATGTATCTAAGATAGGGTAGCATAGATGTAGTCTGTAGTTACAAATGTATTTAAGATAGGCTATCATAGATGTAGTCTGTAGATACAAATGTATTTTTGATAGGTTAGCATTGATGTAGTCTGTAGTTAAAAATGTATTTAAGATAGGGTAACAAAGATGTAGTCTGTAGATACAGACATATTTAGAATAGGATAACATAGATGTAGTCTGTAGTTAGAGACATATTTAGAATAGGATAACATATATGTAGTCTGCAGTTGCAGACATATTTAGAATAGGATAACATAGATGTAGTCTGCAGTTGCAGACATATTTAGAATAGGATAACATAGATGTAGTCTGTAGATACAGACATATTTAGAATAGGATAACATATATGTAGTCTGTAGTTACAGACATATTTAGAATAGGATAACATATATGTAGTCTGTAGTTACAGACATATTTAGAATAGGATAACATATATGTAGTCTGCAGTTGCAGACATATTTAGAATAGGATAACATAAATGTAGTCTGCAGTTGCAGACATATTTAGAATAGGATAACATAGGTGTAGTCTGCAGTTACAGACATATTTAGAATAGGATAACATAAATGTAAGACATATTTAGAATAGGATAACATAAATGTAGTCAATGGTTAAAAACAACCCACTAGACAAAAGAACCAAGTGGACGAGCAAAATTTGACATTAAAGTAAAACATTAAAGTGTGTCCTAAAAAACATTCTTTAAGCTATTGCTGCTTCATCATGGTTGGATTTTAATATTTTCCAAAATTAAGGATTCAGGTTTGCCAATGTTCAGAAAGACTAATTTGATGTGACTACATTCGTAAAAATAAGTAGCGTTGTGTTGGCTTAGCAAGATACTAACTCTTCTAACTGTACCAGGATGGGGTTTAAAAACCTCCTGATGAACGGAGGATTGGAGAAGAAGCAGAAAAAGAAGAACTCGCGGATTCTCTCCTTCGACTCTATCGACGTGTTCGAGGATAACTTTAGTATCTCCGATACAAGGGAGAACACATTCAACAAGCATTATTCATAAAGGGACTGTAAACTTAATTTCAAATGACTCTCCATCTATAGAAGGCATGTCAGATTCACAACGTTACCCTCTAAAGCTTTTCAGATCTAGAATGTTATGAGCTTTCAATTTTTTCTCTTTTAAAATCGATTATTTTCATTTTTGGTTTCTTTTTAAAAAAAACGCTGGAATAGAGGGTCACTTGAAATTACAAAAACAGTCCCTTTAAAAGGAATGTTCTTGAAAATATAACGGGGTTTAATATTAACCATGCTGCAATTGTAAATTGATATTTGCATTTTTCGATGTTTCGAAGTCATTCTTTACAGACTTAAAACCCTAATCATCAGATAGACATAACAGTAGTAACAAGCATACACAGTTCATGATTGGATAATCTTATTCCTACCTTTATATTTCGTGAACACTCCTTTTAATATATCAAATCACACTGCGCTAACTAAATATGGAATTAAAACTTTATCCTAAATAATTCCAAATATCTTCTCCACTGTATGGGTTTTTTGGACTGATCATTCCCGATCTTTGTTCAACAGTATTCTTTTATTTACCATAATTCCGTTGTGTTTCAAATATTCCCCATGAAAACCATATTTTAGTATTTTTGACATCTTTTTGAGCAGACTAGATTAAACCTTAACTTTTTCTATTTACAAATCCATTCAAACTTAGATTTAAACGTTCAATGTGCTAAATATTCGTTATAAATTCGAAAACTACCTTTTTTTACATTCATGGGTGTATACAGGATTTTTTCCAACAGGGGGAGGGGGGGGCTAGCCCTTTTTGGTATTTCATCAAAGGAAAAATAACCCCTGTAAATCTTAGTTTTTACTCTTCAGGGCGTGTGGGGCTAACCTCTAAACCCTGATGCACGCGCCTGACTACATTTTATTATTTTGTGAACCTGGATGTATAATATTTTGTCAAAAACGTGATTTTGTTAAAGATTATAATTCCACATCTATTAAGTTGAATTATTTCCATGATTAGACCTGGGACACCCTGTAAGCTCTCCTACTTTCCCATCAGTATCATTCTAATCCTCATCATCATCATTGTTCTTCTTCCTGTCTTCAATCATAGGCTTGCTTTCAATCCAGATTTACTCGGCCCGGTAGGATTTTTCATAAATATTATCAAATATTATCAAGATAAAATTGAAATTGAAAAATATTATATCAAACTAATTTTGGGTATTTGTTAACTATGTTTTACTTTGGACGTTTATGTCAAATTTTCTATAAGAGCCCACAATTCAGGGTAACTGAGTACGGTTAAGAACACTCCTCACATTTCAAAACCTATGGAAATATTTATATATCTAGATAGCTCCACCTCCCTGCTCTGATACCTGTGATATCTCCCTGGTTGAATCTATCCCGGAGAACCTTGTGTATAATTCATCAGTTCTAAGAAAGTCAACGTATTCAGCTTGGAAGGAAACCTTTCAGATTTTAAGATGTATTTGTTTTGACTGGGGCCAGATTTTATGAAAAGCGAGACTTAGTTGAACCACGTCGACGTGGGTGAACCACTTCCGTCGTGCGCCGGGTCAAGCTGAAAAAGAGATGTCTCACTATGTATGACTATTTATGAAATGTGGTCCCTTGCGTTTTTTTTTTAAACAGCTGAACACAATGGCCAAATTTTGTGAAGGACCAGAAATGCCATCAGACACGGCCTGCGATTTGTCCTTTTTGAAAATAGATTTACTTTCTTCAGGTTGAATAAACGAAAAGGTTGACGTCAATATGAATTCTATTGTATTTAATGTTTTTAATGGAAATTCTTTTTTCTTTATTCAGTAAAAACTATTCAATGGGTTTAATTAGAGTTTAATTCTTTCATATTCTTTTATATTCTACAATAAACATAAACATAGTCATTATACACATAGCTCAAGCTCAGAGCTTTCTCGTCGTTATATTTTACATAAATGGATTTTATGAACAATACTTTTCATTTTTAATGTTTGGAGAAGGACGTCCTCATTTTCCTTGTCCGAGCCATCCCGGAATACTCGTCCTTCGATTAGTATGTGTTTAAAAATTTCAAATTCTTGAAGATTAAACGATTTTTTTAAAATCTGGCCATGTTAAGGACAATACTAAACAATATAAGATTCTAAAACTAGAAAACATTTCCTTAAAAATAGTATATGCCTTGGAAAAATTCATCATTATTACGAAATTGCGATAAAAAGTAGTAGGATTTGATGGCAAAAATATTTCCTAAAATATTATGATTTTTAAAAAAAATCAAAAATTAAAATTTATGATACACATTTTATTTTTGCAAATGTGCAGATTTGAAACTTTTAAAACTTAGTCTGATATGTAAAATGTCCCCGAAATCGGCTTCTAGAACCACTGTGGGGGGGGGGGATTGTAACGTTTCATTTGTTAGCTAAAAGGGATTTTTTCCAAATGTTTAGTAGAAAAAAAATCGTTATCTGTCAAAGGTTAGGTTTAGGAACTTCTAAATATCTCCGAGAGTAGAATAGAACTAGCAGGAATGTATTGGACTCTCAGGTAAACTTAAACTCAAGAAATATTCTACAGAGACATGTAAAAATATGGGGGGACCAATTCGACACTTTGTGACACCAAATTATGACTTAAAAAATGGCCAAAATATTAAATCAAAGAAAATATGTCATGTGAGGTATCAAATCATAGGTTGGTTGGTGTTCCGATTCCATTCTGATACTCCTTTTTGGTGTTCCGATTCCATTCTGATACATCTTTTTGGTGTTCCGATTTCTTTCTGGTACTCCTTTTTGGCGTTCCGATTCCATTCTGATACATCTTTTTGGTGTTCCGATTTCTTTCTGATACTCCTTTTGGTGTTCCGATTCCATTCTGATACTCCTTTTTGGAGTTCCGATTCCATTCTGATACTCCTTTTTGGTGTTCCGATTCCATTCTGATACTCCTTTTTCGGTGTTCCGATTCCATTCTGATACACCTTTTTGGTGTTCCGATTCCATTCTGATACTCCTTTTTGGTGTTCCGATTCCAATCTGATACTCCTTTTTGGTGTTCCGATTCCATTTTGATACTCCTGTTTGGAGTTCCGATTCCATTTTGATACTCCTTTTTGGTTTTCCGATTCCATTCTATTACTCCTTTTTGGTGTTCCGATTCCATTCTGATACTACTTTTTGGTGTTCCGATTCCATTCTGATACGCCTTTTTGGTGTTCCGATTCCATTCTGATACTCCTTTTTGGTGTTCCGATTCCACTCTGATACTCTTTTTTGGTGTTCCGATTTCTTTCTGATACTCCTTTTTGGAGTTCCGATTCCATTCTGATACTCCTTTTTGGAGTTCCGATTCCATTCTAACAATTCACAGTGGGACTTTTAAGCATTTATCTACAGGCATTGCATGATAAAAAGATATGTTCGTTATTTTATGAACGGACAATCTGCGGCACTCGGCTTTTTGTTAGTGGTATGAAAAGCAAACAAGCGTAAGAAAGTGGTTAATTTCTAGAGTAAAAACTTTTCTTCTCAGAAACCCAGAAAACTGTGAAAGAAATATTTTCTTAGTTCTTCTTTTTAATCAAGAAATTATGCAAAAAAAGTGTAATTTACATTTGTTGCAACAGACATATATAGTATATATATATCGATTTTTAATAAAAAGTTCAGTTGCGAACTACAAATCATTCCAAAGGTGACAAGAATTCCACTGTTTTCTAGTTTTCACTGTATGAGATGGAACTAAAGTATAAAATGTTGATATATTTAAGGGGTAAGGATATACAATATGAGGATGAATCTGCGTGGCAAGGAGAGGATATATTTAAGAATATTAAATCAGGTTAGTTTATAAAAAACTAGCAATCAAACGTCATTTATTTTCTTCTAAGATTGATGAGAAGATACTTTTGTTGACAAGTTTCTATTTTAGCTGTAAAGGAGAAAGGGTTAGAACTATGGATAGCACAAAATCAACCCAACCCTGAAGAACCAAACCTAGATACAGAGGATCTGGAGCAAACTGTCGGAGCAAGGTTCGTTTAGTTAAGAAATGAAACCATATTTTTTCAATGGGTATTTTTTTATAAATACATAATTTTAAAGAAGGAAAAAATCATTAATGGGAAATTCTATGTTGTATTGGACATTTTTTAGATGGTTTATTTTAAAGAATAAATATTTCATGGATGGGAAAATTTTATAGAAGCTAAACTTCTTGGATGGATCAGATGATACATTAACATATCACTGTAACAAATTGTAAGTCCCTATCTCAGTGAAGTCACTTTACGATAGAGAGATGGGACTATCCCAAAAGTTTGATCTGAGCTGGGAACTTTTGTATGGTGGATATCTGGATTAATGCTTGATCCACTCTTTTTCTTAATCTCCAGATTAAATTTTGCTTGTTCTCCTCATGAATTTAATCTCCAGATTAATTAACAGATCAGGATTAAGGATATCACATTCTAAAGTTTTCAGCTCTGGTTTAATATTTCATAAAATAACAGTTTAAAGATGGAACATTTCTATAGATTAAACATATTATAAATGGGATATTCCACTAATCATTTCCAACTAATTTTCTCAATTTGTTAATTAATTAATTAACAATTAGTTTTCAAATTTTCTCTCAACCTTAAGAGGTTAATTTCACTGAAATCTATTTTTCAGGGTTCGAAGCTTAAATTTTACCAGGTTGGTTGGAGCTGGAATCCTTCATACTAAACTATGGTTAGTGGATCGGAAACATTTCTATGTAGGATCCGCTAACTTTGATTGGAGATCTCTGACACAGGTCCTGTAGGAAACCTAGCAATCTAGTATTTAAGTGTTAACCCGTAACGTCGATTGAACTTCCATACAAAGTTAGCAATGCCCGATTCACAACGGTACCGTTAAAAGCTGCGTTTGATCTAGCATTAATTAGAAATCAAGGTTTATTATTTTAAGAACTAAATTTTTTCAATTGTGGTTTCTCTTCAAAAGTGTCTTATGCATTTCTACTCCAGGAAAACGTATAATAAAACTACTATAACCTTAAACCTAGAAAAAAATGACACTGTCTGCCCTTTAATTGATTCATTAATTTTGTTGTTAATTTCTCCAATCTACTCCTTCACTATATTTCGTTGTCTATTTTTTATTCTTGATTCTTCCTTATTCTGTTGTCTAGTTCTCCGATCCACTCCATTATATTGTTTGTCTTGTCTTGTCTTTTTAGTGGTCTTATCTGAAACCGCATCTTATTTTATCTTACATTTTAACTCTTTTAACTGAATCTACTATAATTCAAGGTGAAGGAGGTAGGTGTGCTTGTAAAGAACTGTCCCTGTTTAGCGGAGGATATGGGTAAAATCTGGGATGTTTACTGGGCTCTAGGTAGGAAATTATACTAGCTTACCAAGATTTAAATATTCATGTAGGCTAAACTTATCTAATTGTGTATAAAGGTGCACCTGGAGCTAGTGTTCCTAAATCCTGGCCAGACTCTCTTTCAACCCAGATTAACCTGGATACTCCTGTATCCGTCCTCAACTCTCATCTTTCTGTCTCTATTTCAAGTTCTCCGCCCCCGTTCTGTCCTCAAGGCCGGGATAGTGATATTGAAGCCATTCTCCGGACTATAGATAGTGCTAAAGAGTTTGTACGGGTTGCTGTGATGGATTACTATCCTGCAACCCTATACAGGTCCCACACACAGTTCTGGCCCGTCATAGATAATGCACTACGGAAAGGTAAGCTTAAGACAGTCTTAAGATAATAAAATTGTGATTATTCTATCGAGAAGAGGAGAGTTTTTATTTATTTTTTATTCTACGGTAAACTAAACAGTTTGAACTAAAAATACAATTTATGATAATATTTCTAGAATCTCAGAAATTATTATTATGCAAAGACTTCTCAGTTTAGTTTTACGCTAAACTGTAAACATTTTTATTCGGACATGAGGAAATGACTACAATTATAAATATCAAGTATTAAAATTTTAAAGTGTTTACTCTCAATGAAATAGTCATGATGCTTTACCAATGACGAGAAAAATATGAAGAAACGCTTCTGGACAGTTTTTAACAATAATTTATTTTTAATAAAGCAGTCATATAATATTAAGATATATACATATTCACTATTCAGTATACATAGTATACATAGAAATATTAATGATGGTTGAAATCTAGTTATTTCTCTTATATTTACGATCGCCAGAAGATGACAAATTTAGTTCTGTATTTGTATCAATCTTTCTATCCTTGTTTTTATCAAACATTCTGAATATGAACTCAGCTTCTTCTTCTGGAACCTTGTCTCCTGTAATCCTGTTCAATGCGTCCTTGAACTCCTTCTCTGATAATTCACTCTTCCCCCCACTCATCTCCTCCTCTAACGTTTCAACGTACATCATGAAGTTCTTTATAACCTTGAAACTATGTGCACTTGATGTATCTTCCCAAAGTGACCTGTAGTATGTGAGGAACCGAGCAAATGCTAGAAGCATGCATCCCGTCATACCAAATGTGAATACGAAGAAAGCGTACGGATTCTCCTCTAGTCCGTGGATTAAATTCATTCCCATAAGACCAGAAGCTAGAGAACCTGCACCCATACAAACACCCGTCATTTCCATATACAGACTCCAGCTGATCATCTCGTTTCTCAAGGTACCTAGATGAGCGTTAATATACTGGTTTGTGTCATCTATACTAGACTTGATATTCCGAATCGTCGTCAGCATATCCTCTAGATCTGCTAGATAGGATTGAAGGAGTACCTCAACCTCTTCATGATGCCCAACCCTTCTCTCATGTTCAGATAAATACAGACCAATGAGATCTTCATCTTTACTCAGTAATCCCTGTAGCATCCGAATCATATTCTCTATACTGCGTTCGAATACTCCTAAGCTCTTCTTGATCGCTAGCATACGTCTGAGAGAGGCAGATTGTGGATCTGCTGCTATCTTAGCAGACAGGAGATCTGCTGCAGGCTTTATGATACTGATATATCTATCATACTTTGCCACTAAAACTGCCAAGGCGCTCTCAAGCACTTTATAGGCGAACTCGACGTTCTCTGTACTGGTTTGGTAAAGATTTAGAAAGGAACTAGGCTCCGTGGTTTTTATGTTTTCACCAGACAAGCTTGCCATGATATGCTGAAAGAATTCATCTTGAAGGACGGATTTGTTATCCAGCATTAAGCAGGTTTCCTTAAAACAGATCAGTCTTATGCTCTCCATCTCCAGTATAAAACAAGCAGCCTGGGGTCTTGGTAGGATAGCACATAACTTACTGCTCTCAACTTTTGCAAACAATCGTAGATCTCTGATTAAAGATTAAATAAAAAAATACAACAAAACTCAATAAATTAAAAAATATGTTATGCTATGTGTATGAATTTTTAAATTTTTCTAAAACACTAATAAAATTTAAAAATTGTCTTCATATTACACTTCCCCAAGATTCTTGAGCACTTGAAAAATCTATACATCAAATTTATTTTGTTCATTACAAATATTATTTATTCTTTCCTGAGATGAAGTTTATTATTCCCTTTTTTCAAAATTTCTTTAATTGGAATATTTTGACTGGAATATTCTCCATTGCTTGATATTTCAAGTACAGGTAAACTCTGCAGTACTTTCGATTTCGGTATGTCACTGTTCATAGACCTCTGTACATTAATCTGTACTAGTCTGTGGACGCTCGACAGAGCACTCAATCTATTAGTCCATCTGGTGAGGCAAGGTATTACTGATATAAAACTCATACTCTTTTAAAAAATAACTGTAAAAATCATAATTTTTTGAAGTTTGAAAGAATTATTTTAAAATTTCAATAAACACTTCATTTTACCTTAAACCGTGTAGACTGTAGACTGCCAATATGGAATTTGAGTACCGAGTTGTGATTAAAACTTTTACATTATTCTACGGATTTTCTTTAAAAATTTCCCGCATTTGTATAATTTTTTAACAAGATTTAGAAGAGGGGAGGAAGGCCAGCCACAACAATTTTTCATTCGAGCCACATTCTCCTCATTTTCCTTGTCCGAGCCATCTCGGAATACTCGTCCTTCGATTAGTATGTGTTTAAAAATTTCAAATTCTTGAAGATTAAACGATTTTTTTTAAATCTGGCCATGTTAGGGCATAAAATTGGATATACTAAAGTATTGCAATGATTATATCATGTTGGAATCTTCAAACCCATGAGAATGATGTCAAACTTTATTTAGGTAAAACTTAAATCTCTTTTGCATCCTTGGCTAACCTTCGCGATGTAAAATAAATAGCAAAATACTTGGCATACCTCTGACCTTTGCCTATCATTTTTCCCATAGAACCACCTGGAATAATTCTATGGTTTTCACTATAATTATCAAAAAAGATTGAAGTTCTATAAACTCGGAATTATATGCGGCATTCTACACCAGAATTATCTTAGCATGCGTGTAAAAAAATATGAAAATTTTTAAAACCTTAATTTTATTTAAATTTTTTTCGATTTACAAGCATTTGAGATTTCAGTTATGCCCTAACGTAGCTCGATTCTTTAAAAATAGTTTATTTGGGAGGATTAGACACTTTAAAAAAATGATATTGAAAGGACGAGGATTTCAAGGTGGCTCGGACGAGAAAATAAGGAGAATGTGGCTCGGATCAGAAATTGTTGTTGTTGGCCTTCCTCCCCTTTTTAGAACTAATACATCTTAATCTTATTTCATGTTTGCTTTTTATGAGGGACGATAATATTAAGAAAGATCTGCTTATATCATTACCTTTTATAAACATAATCTTACAAACCTAGATTTGGACAAGCTAATTAAGTGTTGTGTCTTAAAACTTGGAAAAATTTCATTGTTAAGGAATTTAAATGTTTGATATTTTATGTTATATTTAAGTTAAGAGAATAAAACAATGTTTTTTTTTAAATAAAAATTTACAGATTTATTTGGTCTCCTTCGATTTCATAAAAACTTTTACGTTTTTAATATCCATCTGTATTTCAGCTGCGATAGAGAGAAAGGTTAAGGTTGAGTTACTTCTCAGTGATTGGGATCATACTATTCCATCCATGCTCTACTATCTCCGATCTCTCCAGGCCCTGAATGGAGTCGCTCCTGGAGTGCATATCAGGTTTAAAGTTTATTTCATCCTTCATTGAAGTTGTTGTTTAATTCCGGGTTTTGTTTGTTAAAGAACAGATTTTCAAAATATAACGTATGAATTGATTAGTTTTTTTGTTTCTGTTTGGGGTGATGTTTTTTTTCATACGTTATTTATAAAGAATAATATTTTTTAGGGTTCGTATGTTCCGGGTTCCGTCTTTTACTCCTGCGCAGAAGAAAGTCCCGTTTGGTCGAGTGAACCACAACAAATATCTAGTTACCGAGTCCACGGGGTTTGTAGGGACATCTAATTGGTCTGCGGATTATTTTATTTCCACCGGCGGAATTGGTTTTGTCTTTGCCGGAGCACTGAGGAACGATCTTGAGGAGTTGTTCCAAAGAGACTGGAACAGTTCCTATGCCAGCGATCTGTAAGGATGGATTCGAATGAAACTATTTGAAATCTTTAAGAGATTAAATTTAGTGTAAATTGTAATATGTGGAGTAACATGAGTGATTCACATAAAAGAACTAAATCAAAACCTTATCAATCGATACCGTCGACATCGTCTCAACTGTTTAAAAGCGAGATGCATGACGTCACTTATTAAATGGTCATGGAGTAATATTAGGACATCTGATTTAAATTTGTTGGAAACGTATCAAGTCCTACCATGGTATAATCTTCCCAGAATAAACACAAAGGAAACAAAATAAGCGACACCTTCAGAACTGAAGAGGTTTAGTTTATCATGAGTTATCATAAACCTGGATAAAGTAATATTTTAAAGATATATATTTACTCTCTACAGTTCTCCTATTAAACATATCTCAAACTTTGTTGTTTTGAATTAAAATTTAATCAAAATAAGTAGTTTTCCTATTTAACCTATCTTAAACTGTATCTCTTATTTCTCTTCTTGATTTCCAATATCCTATCTTGATTTATAAACAGTCTTTTTCAGAAGATTTTATTCAGTCGTGGATGCGTTTCTTTGGGCGTCGAGATTTTTGCCCACATTTGAGAAAAAATACCCCCCCCCCCCCGGCTTTTGTATTTGTACCAAAATACTGACATTTTCTCAGATAATTTTTACCTGTTTTTCTGTAATTATTATCGCTTTTCTGTGTCTAATATCTTTACTCATTCATATTGCTTTTTTATGTAATTTTTTGCCAAAAAAAAACAATTTTAATGTGCCTTATATGTTTAAAATTATAAGATGCTTCTTTTGATGATATTTATTAATATTTTCAAAATAGTATACTTTCGTTTAGATAGTTAATTATATTTGAAATAAATAGAAATCATATTTTTCCAGCATAGGTTCTATATTTCCAACTCCAGGTTAGGATCCTTAATCTCCGTGTCTTCTGGAAGCTCCGTCTCCGTCCCACCTACGAAAAAAAAAAACTAAAAATTGGTTTGTTTTAGCCTAAATTTTTTAGTTTGATCTGGTTTATGGCTCAGTAACGACAGTAACCGGACTTCACCTCACCCCTTAGTAGAAAGAATAGGTTATATATAAAAAAATTCATGTCATCTATAAAAAGTAAATTAAATTATGAAAATCAATACACCATTTTCTACTTCGAAAATGATTTAAATTATTGATACGGTCTTCGTCCTCAAATGAAGGGCTTGGTCTGTTCATGGATCACATTAAAAAAAGGCTAACCGAAATTACCCTCTCTTTATATAACTGCTTTGTACGGCTGTAAGTATGACTCAGTATTACCGAATTATTGTTTTGACATCGACATCGACATCGACATGCTGAGATTTTTACAAAGCCTTGAAAAATGTTGACAACAAAAATATTCAATTCTTTTTGAATTAAATCTTTTATCTGTTTCTTTTAATCTGACGTAGGTCGTAATTCCGAGCAGTCCTCTATTAAGTATTAGTGACATGTCTGATTCACAACGGTTCACTTAAAAGTAAAATTTTTATCTCTTAAAACTTAATTATTTACAATTTTGATTTTTCAACAAAACAATTAGAAGAAATTATCAAAATTAAGCACTCTTTTTGTTAGAAAAACGACGTTATAGACATTATAAATCAAATATAGTGTTAAGGGGTAAATCGGTCATGTCCCTCTGTAAATGGAGGGGTCACTGAAAACTACGACGACAGACCCATTAATACCTTTAATACTAGGAACAAACAATATCTAAGGAAGATTAATTTAGACATTTGGATTAGATAATTTGGACAACAGAGCACTACTTATACGCCTGAATTTGATACCCATATTGCAAATTTAAGTGAAGCCATTAATTAATCTGGGTAAACAGCTGATTCGTATTTCCACGACCCTTCATATTTCTAGAGCAGACTTAAAGTAGCTTCTAATCAGTCGGTGTTTCCAAAGGAATTGACTTAATCCGTTAAACCAATTCGGTTTAGTGCAATACGAACAGACTAACAGATAAATAATGCAAGTTTCGCTATTAAGGCTTTCTGGTACTTTCAAGTTATATAAGTCCGAGCAATATCTTCAATTTGTATTGATGCTTATTAGTTTAAGCAAAATCATCTATTCTTATTGATAATTATTAGTATTAGCAAAATCTTATATTTTTATTGATATTTGTTAGTTTCAGTAAAATTATTTTATTTTATTGATAATTAATAGTTTTAGCAAAATCTTTTATTTTTATTGATAATTATTAGTTTTAGTAAAATCTATATTTTTACTTAAAATTATTAGTATTGTTATAAACCTGTTCCTTCCTCTCCACTATCATGTCCTAGTATTTCAATCTCACTTGCACAGCTACTTTCATTCCCACTACTCCGGGTACTCCCGTCACAGCTGATCCGCTGCAATCTGTCCCTTTGGGAGGGTTCATCTTTCAACCCTTCTCTAGGTGGTAATGCATCCTTCAATCCTTCTCTAGGTGGTGATACACTCTTCAATTCCTCTCTAGGTGGTGATGCATCATTCAACTCTTCTCTAGGTGGTGATGCGTCATTCAACTCTTCTCTAGGTGGTGATGCATCCATTATCAACCCTGTCCGGGATCTAGAATCATCGGTGTCAGGTTTAGATGCAGGTTCCGGAGTTAAAGGTTTGCATATTGGTTCTGGAGAAGATGGTTTAGACTGTGGAGAAGGTGTGGGTTTAGAAGCTCGCTGCCAGGAAGGAATACCAGGGTTTGATGGTAGGGTGGGGGTCTGAGGGAATGCACGACTAAAAACATTTAGAATTAAAAATGTCAAGTAGAGAAGTATATATTTTTCTAACCTGCTGAGGAGTAACCCTTTCACAGACTGGATTTCCTTCTTCACTTCTAAGGAATCTGAATCTGATCTTCGCTCTTGAAGATGGAGTTTCTCTAAGGTCTCCTAAACCAAGCACAGTTCGTAAAAATGTAATATTTTATAAGATATTTGATTGCAAACTGAACTCTTACCTGGATCTTATTCAATCCATCCTGGAGCTTGTTTAAGGAGTGGAGCAGGGTTTGACTTGTTTGGAGCAGGATGTGGGTTGGGTTGGGTTCATCATCTTCTCCGTACAACCAGCGCCGGATATATTTCTAAGATAATTTTGTTAAGATGATAATCCAAAGATATGTTAAACTATTCGAACTCATATGAACTTGCCGTCTTAGTAGTTTTTAGGGATATACTAATTTAATAGTTGACCAGTCCTCCTTGGGAAATATGATTGTCTGGGTGGGGGCTAAAATTGAACTTAAATTAGTGAGTTTCCAATCCCTCATGTTTGTTGCTTTCTACACGAAAATTCCATTATTTCCCCTAAATTCAGTGATTTTAGTGCGGTTTGCAACATTTGGTAGGGAAATGTTGTTTAGGAAGAGGGAAACATATACCATCGGTATTTAACTGAACAGAGTTAAGGTATATTTTACCTCCCATAGATATCTTGCTCCATAAGAGAATCCACCGATTAATAGTAGAATGTTCATGAAATCTCGAAGCTTAGTAGAAAACCCACTCTAGAAATATTTAAGCAGAATTAAAAACAATAAGATTTCCATGACGACTAAAACGGTTTAAAAAGTCCTTTAATATCATTTTAATGATTTGGTATGCAGAGACTTAACAAAGTACTAAAAACATGTGAAGGTAATCCATCGTCTTTCAGTTTCAAACCTCATCCTTTGTGGGTATTCCCTTACTTAGATCACACCGCAGAGCTGAGAAGAGTCCAGAGCTGGGAATTTTGAATGAGTTAAG